CAGATAAACTGCCCCCCTTTTATCCTATCATCCCCCGTGAGATCTGAAAGTGAGAAACTTTTGTCACCAGTATAGAGCCAGGCAAGCATGTACTTCCGTGCACTCTGACCAGACTCTATACTATTTGTAGCCCAATTTTGTGTATTTTGATATTTATTGCCCTTCAACTTTAAACGGACTGTCTTAAACTCTAATCTCGGCAAATTCATATAACTTTATTTTTCATCAGGTCAAGGGTTAAATAAGAGCATATATATAAAAAAAAAAGGTTGGTTATGTTTGCACACAGAACTTTCCTCACTATTGTTCTATCATTATGAAATGACTCAAATATTACAGATGAATAGTTTCCTTATAAACGATATGAACACATGAAAAATTAAAGCAGCCTGCCTCCATTTTTGTACCAATTTTTTCATGACAATTTTGAAATAAAAGCATTCTTCTGTTTAGTATAAATTTAGTCAAGTGTATTTATATATATTAAAAATGATTTAGTCTAGCCATAAACAATAACTATACACAGAAATTACTTGTAACTTGCCAAAATATACAGAAATCACCCTAACTTTATTAGTAAAAGGGTTCAAAAACATAATGATGAAAATATAAATAATTTAAACACATTTTGCATTAAAGAACAGTGTCTATTCTAGGATTCGAAAAAAAGGGAGGATTTTTATCGAAAAGTGAGAATTTATTAGATTTGTTGACCTTTTTTTTCTTCTTTCTCTATGTAAAATTTCCCCCTACCTCTGAAAATATAGGCTGGAATTCTCAAAAAATATGAGTGAATCTCCGAAATCCCCCCTCCTAGAATAGACACTGAAAATATGCAGATGGCAAATTTGATTGTAATGTTTTTCAATTTTTTTTTCTTTCTAACTTTGTGATTTAAAAAAAATTTGTTCGTTAATTTCGGAAGTGTGCCACTTTAAAACATTATTGTAACATTTACACATGACGAGACAATTCTAATCCTGCTAAAAGTTTTGTTGTCGTTTCTTTTTAGCGTCTATCGCCTCCAGGATAGGTTGTCGTTTAGCTTGAAATCTCGCTCTCAGCTCATCTATCTCACGCTCCATTTCTGGGTCAAGGTCAGCGAGCCGTCTCTCCAGGTCTTCATATGCCAAGTTGCGTAACTAAAAATATAATCATATCAAAATAATTTGCTCAAATATTATCAAAATGAGTTCATACAATATTTTTTGTTATTACTGGGTTTAAAATCACACCAACACTTTTATGATCCTTGTTAGGGTTTCCTGTTTTACTCGTGGAGAAAGACCTCAATTTCCCCTCAAGAATTATTTCCTGCATGAGTAAGTACACAAGTACAACCATCAACATTTAAGGAGCTAGCTAGAAAGCTTCCACACATCAAAGATTCAGGATCCATAATCACCAACCTTTACCACTTGACCACATATTACAAATAAAGTCTCTATTACTCAGTAAAAAGATATGTTACTTTTGTTATATTACTTAAAATGATATGCTATGTAATTTGTTATGTCATCTTTTAAATTCCTGGTTTTCAATAATACATGTATTGTAAATTTAACTCTTGAATAAAAGTTGGTCAACAAACCACTGTCCATTCACTTGTTCTTTAATGCACAATATATAAAATGGACTTGTCTAGCAAATGTCCACTGTAAAGGGACTTTGACATAAAATGCTAAAACATTTTACAGCTTGAACAAACTGGAACTAAAGTGCAGACTAGCCCATGGAAAAAACCAAGATGAACATTAGAAACAACAGTGTGGAACCACGAAGACTAAATTTTACTTACAAATTCGAAGTCTCCATCTATAAGTGACCTCTGGAAGTGATGGGGTGGGGTAACTTGTTTTTGTGGCACTGGTTGTGGGGCAGGGGCTGGAGGTTGTGAACGCTGTACTTGAGATTCCTGCTCTTTCTTCTCAAAATGATCGAGATAGGACGGACGATATTTCTCCTTACCCCCTGTAGCTGTACTATGTCCTATACAATAAAATAAACCAAACTGTTTTATAATATACTGCATGTATGTAACATCTTTTTTCATTGGACAATTATATAAACATTTATATTATCTATATATACAGCTCCTGTAAATTTATAGATAAATATTTCTTCTAATTAGAGAATTGATTATGCTGAAATAAGGCTTGGTGATAAGCTTTTTTTAATGGTTATACAGCTCCTTATACAAGTAAATTAAAATATGCTGTTTATACAGTTATATAACCAATATCAAGGTCATATAACTTGGAACAAAATTATTTGTGATTGGTAATATAAGCTCTTTTAGCTGTATCATCAATATTTATATGAGCTTAATTATTATGGTGCAACACTTGTTGATTTTGACACATATCGTCATTTTTTTTCTTTCCTGTCTAAATAGTTTACCATTAAAATGAACCTGTTTCAAGTAACTATATATAAACCAAATGCAATTTTGGTCAAAACATATTTGTTATAGTAATATTAATATGATGACTGCTTAAAGGTTGTTTAAAACACTCTTTAGCAAACTAGTACTATTGTTATTTGAGGTAACTTGGTCATATTTCCAGTGGCACTAAACAATCCTCTAAGTTGAGGCAGACATTTACTCCTAAAAAATTACAATGTGACTGGAAAACATTTTTAGCAGCTTTAACAGCGATACAAAGTAACAAATCGATATTGTGAACCGAAACACACAAATATAATTGGAATTTAATACTTTAACCAACAATTTTAGTAATAGGTAAAATAACATTTTCATTTTACAGTCAAACATTCAAAACAATAATCTCAAGATAAGAGATCAAAGACATTTTAATCAAGTTGCATATCTCATAGTACTTCTGAGTAAAGTTAGAGTATGATGGTAAAGTAGTTCTTATAATACTTTATTTCTCATGCTGTAACAGAAGAGTACATAACGACCAAAGTAGAAAAATTGATCTGTAAAGCAGAAAAGATGAAAATTTTGTTCAAAGTTCAGGTGTAATGTTTAATGAAAATTTAAAATGTAATGTCAAGTTAGAAAAAGAAATGGAATAATTTGTTAAAACTTGATGTGTTATATCAGACAAAAACCATGCTAAGAAAATTATCGAAAAAAAAATGAAAACATAAGAATAAATTTCATCGAGTAGAATGGTTCTATTTATTCATAACATATCATTATATAATAGTAAGGGCCCTTTGTCTTATATCACCAAGTTATAAAAAAAAGCTTTTTTAACATATTTAAAACACTTTTTTCTCTCTATCTTACAAATGAAAAATAGTTATGTTTCTCTTATGTTCCATCTGAACATATTCATGTTTTAAATGAAATATTTATATATATATAAGATTTTCATATTTTACTTATATCTGTAACAGTCTAATTGGCAGAGTATTTATCCAAACTCTACTGAAATTTTGTTTTACACATTTTCATATACATATAATTATCCAGTCAAAGGCAAACCGACCTCTCTATAATATCATGAGAAAAGGCCCTCGATGAGAAATTTCAAAGAGTCAAAGGATATAAGTACATCAGCATATAGAGTGAGCGAGGGGTAAATTTACATTTGTTTATTTTCTTACTGACAAAACTGGACACACTGGAGAGACTGGACATCCCACTTGATATTGAAGCTTTACCTGTATTACACACTGATCAACAAAATTAACATATTTAAATCACTATATGAAAAATTGATGAACAAAATTCATCATCAAAATTTTGTCTGCTACATTTATGTAATAGATTTGTTCTGCCATGAATATTGAACTTTTGAATGTTGCATGCCTTATTTCAATATCAAAATATCCTAATCAGGTGGTATAGAGCCACGCCCGACCGCAATAATTGTATGTATTTCTGTTGTTTTTTTACTCTGATTTAACAGAGGGTTTGTCAAAGCTAGGCAATTTATCCACTTAACTGGCTATAGTGCATAACTAACAATTACACTGCAATCCCACTTGATTTCATAATCAGATGTGCCAGAAAAAATAACCATTATTTTGTTTGTTTTGGGTTTTACGTCACATCGACACAGTATAGGTCATATCGCGACGTTGCTGAGTAGAACCACCGACGTTCCGTAAGCTAGCTGGATAGCTTCCTCACATGAAAGAATCCAAAGTCCCCGTCGGGATTCGAACCCACAACGTTGAGGGGCAAGTGATTTGAAGTCAACGACCTTAAATGACCATTAGATTTCCCTTTCGCTGCCAGAGGGTTATTTATTTATTGATCACCTATTTGCCAGAAGGTTTTCTAAGAAATTACTATATTATTAATTAATATAATTATTATTATTTATTATTAGTATTATCATAATTATATATGTTTCCAAATCTGCTAGTATATAATAATTATTGTCGATGGTATAATTATCTATATATTTATTATCATTATTATTATTATAATTATTATAATTATTGTTATTATTATAGAAACGGCAAAAGCCGTCCATATGGCAAATACACCATATGCCGTCCCTATGGCAGTGAAAGGGTTAAATACCCATGATCAACTACCACAGAGAAATTACGCCTCTTTTGAGGATCAAACCAGCAAACTTTGGATGTTTTCCCTGTTCAGCTAAGCCGGCAGACTAACATGGTCTGGCTCTAATGGAGACACTCTTTACTGTAAGCAGTTTTGACGGTTACAAGGGAGGACAATAAACGCATAATATAACATTACGATTAGCTTACGTTTCATAGTACCGTCATCTTCTTCTTCTGACTCGTTTATCACCATCGTACCAAGGTCAGAATCTACCATCGTGGATGCCTCACTGTTACATATAACTGTACCACTCTCAGACTGTAATGTCCCTGTATGATAACATATACATAAACTTGTTTTCATTATTGTATTTTTTTTATATCTTTTATTTATTGTTTCTTACAATGATTATATAAAAATGATCTTAACATACAAGCATGAGAATCCCTACCTGACTGAGATCCTTTCATAGTTCCCTCATCATTTCTCACCATAGTTCCTCCTGTCTCCAGATCATCTTCACCCTATATATATATAAACACATGAATATATATAGGTCTAACACATGAAATATATAGGTTAAACACATGAAATATATAGGTTAAACACATGAAGTATATAGGTTAAACACATGAATACATAACTTACAATTTTAACATATGAGGTGTAAAAACATACCAAATATATAAACAAATATATTACACATTGATAATAGTTTTCTCAACTTGTAATACGGTCAAACTTCCTATTTTCAAATCTGTGCCAAGATGGAACTATATTATGTTATATAATTCAAAATCAAATTCACATTGTTCTCTGTAAAAGTCATTAAGATGAATTTCAATATAGCAAGGGAGTGACTGGGCGAATGAAATCGTATGAAGTTGATCGCTGTTAGGGAGAGAGAATGTGAAAGCAACTGAGTAATTCAGTAGTTAGAGATGCTAAATGGAGTACCCATTAAACAAGGTTCAAATCCTATCAAGACTTCACTGGGTGTTTTTTTTACCCTGTGATACTCACTGCGTATGTTATTTTAAATGCATTACTTACAGATTTATTTCTGTTCAGAATTCACATGTTTTCCTACCTATCAATACTCTGTACAATGATATTCTGATATCTGTACAAAGTTAACAGTATACAAGAACCGGTTGAACCGGGTGATGCTCCCCGAGAAGGTTCTGGACACAGGAAAGTATAAAAAAAATGAACAATGGGCAATAACTCCAAAATTAGACCAGGCTTTGTTTAGGTTTTTTAAGCGTTGCAGTTCTATCCAATTATACCTAGCTACCTACAAAGTTTCATGTTGATATCTCTAATAGTTTTAAAGTAATGTCCAGGACAAAAGTCAAAAAGTAAAAATAAACAAAGGGCAATTACTTCAAAATAAGGCAAGGCAGAGTAATGATTCATAAGCACTGCACTTCCACCCAATGAGACCTATCTATCTACAAAGTTTCATGTTGATATCTCTTATAATTTTAGAGTAATGTCCCAGACAAAGTTCAAAGTGTCAAAATGAACAAAGGGCAATAACTCCAAAAGTAGGCAAGACAGTGTAACAGTTCTTGTGCACTGCAAACTTACTCAATGAGATCTATCTACCTACAAAGTTTCATGTTGATATCTCTTATACATTAAGAGTTATGTCCCGGACAAAGTTCAAAGTGTAAAAATAAACAAAGGAGGATAATTCAAAAATTAGGCAAGGCAGAGTTAAGGTTCTTGTTCACTGCACACCTACTCAATGAGATCTATCTACCTACAAAGTTTCATGTTGATACCTCTTATACTTTTAGAGTTATGTCCCGGACAAAGTTCAAAGTGTAAAATAAACAAAGGGGGATAATTTAAAAATTAGACAAGGCAGAGTTACGGTTCTTGTGCACTGCACACCTACTCAATGAGATCTAACTACCTACAAAGTTTCATGTTGATACCTCTTATACTTTTAAAGTTATGTCCAGGACAAATTTCAAAGTGTAAAATAAACAAAGGGGGATAATTCAAAAATTAGGCAAGGCAGTTACGGTTCTTGTGCACTGCACACCTACTCAATGAGATCTATCTACCTACAAAGTTTCATGTCGATACCTCTTATACTTTTAGAGTTATGTCCCGGACAAAGTTCAAAGTGTAAAATAAACAAAGGGGATAATTCAAAAATTAGGCAAGGCAGAGTTACGGTTCTTGTGCACTGCACACCTACTCAATAAGATCTATCTAACTACAAAGTTTCATGTTGATACCTCTTATACTTTTAGAGTTATGTCCCGGACAAATTTCAAAGTGTAAAATAAACAAAGGGGAATAATTCAAAAATTAGGCAAGGCAGAGTTACGGTTCTTGTGCACTGCACTTCTACTCAATGAGATCTATCTACCTACAAAGTTTCATGTTGATACCTCTTATACTTTTAGAGTTATGTCCCGGACAAATTTCAAAGTGTAAAATAAACAAAGGGGGGTAATTCAAAAATTAGGCAAGGCAGAGTTACGATTCTTGTGCACTGCACACCTACTCAATGAGATTTATCTACCTACAAAGTTTCATGTTGATACCTCTTATACTTTTAGAGTTATGTCCCGGACAAAGTTCAAAGTGTAAAATAAACAAAGGGGGATAATTCAAAAATTAGGCAAGGCAGAGTTACGGTTCTTGTGCACTGCACTTCTACTCAATGAGATCTATCTACCTACAAAGTTTCATGTTGATACCTCTTATACTTTTAGAGTTATGTCCCGGACAAAGTTCAAAGTGTAAAATAAACAAAGGGGGATAATTCAAAAATTAGGCAAGGCAGAGTTACGGTTCTTGTGCACTGCACACCTACTCAATAAGATCTATCTAACTACAAAGTTTCATGTTGATACCTCTTATACTTTTAGAGTTATGTCCCGGACAAAGTTCAAAGTGTAAAATAAACAAAGGGGAATAATTCAAAAATTAGGCAAGGCAGAGTTACGGTTCTTGTGCACTGCACTTCTACTCAATGAGATCTATCTACCTACAAAGTTTCATGTTGATACCTCTTATACTTTTAGAGTTATGTCCCGGACAAATTTCAAAGTGTAAAATAAACAAAGGGGGGTAATTCAAAAATTAGGCAAGGCAGAGTTACGATTCTTGTGCACTGCACACCTACTCAATGAGATTTATCTACCTACAAAGTTTCATGTTGATACCTCTTATACTTTTAGAGTTATGTCCCGGACAAAGTTCAAAGTGTAAAAATAAACAAAGGGGGATAATTCAAAAATTAGGCAAGGCAGAGTTACGGTTCTTGTGCACTGCACTTCTACTCAATGAGATCTATCTACCTACAAAGTTTCATGTTGATACCTCTTGTTGTTTCAAAGTTATGTCCCGGACAAGAAAAGGGGACGGACGGACGGACGGACGGACGGACGGACGGAAAGACGGACGGACGGACGGACGGACAAGGCGGCGACTATATGCTCCCCCGAAATTTTTTCGGGGAGCATAATAACTTACAGATTCATTTCTGCTCACAATTCACATATTTCTCTACCTATCGCTACTCTATCTGTATAAAGTTAACAGTATATAACTTACAGATTCATTTGTTCACAATGCACATTTATCTCTACCTATGATACTCTATCTGTATAAAGTTAACAGTATATAACTTACAGATTCATTTGTTCACAATGCACATTTATCTCTACCTATGATACTCTATCTGTATAAAGTTAACAGTATATAACTTACAGATTCATTTGTTCACAATGCACATTTATCTTTACCTATGATACTCTATCTGTACAAACTTAACAGTATATAACTTACAGATTCATCTCTGTTCACAATGCACATTTATCTCTACCTATGATACTCTATCTGTACAAAGTTAACAGTATAAAACTTACAGATTCATTTGTTCACAATGCACATTTATCTCTACCTATCGCTACTCTATCTGTACAAAGTTAACAGTATATAACTTACAGATTCATCTCTGTTCACAATGCACATTTATCTCTACCTATGATACTCTATCTGTACAAAGTTAACAGTATATAACTTACAGATTTATTTGTTCACAATGCACATTTTTTCTCCACCTATGATTCTCTATGATACAATGTACAATGTTAACAGTATATAACTTACAGATTCATTTGTTCACAATGCACATTTATCTCTACCTATGATACTCTATCTGTATAAAGTTAACAGTATATAACTTACAGATTCATTTGTTCACAATGCACATTTATCACTACCTATGATACTCTATCTGTACAAAGTTAACAGTATATAACTTACAGATTCATTTGTTCACAATGCACATTTATCTCTACCTATGATACTCTATCTGTACAAAGTTAACAGTATATAACTTACAGATTCATCTCTGTTCACAATGCACATTTATCTCTACCTATGATACTCTATCTGTACAAAGTTAACAGTATATAACTTACAGATTCATTTGTTCACAATGCACATTTATCTCTACCTATCGCTACTCTATCTGTATAAAGTTAACAGTATATAACTTACAGATTTATCTCTGTTCACAATGCACATTTATCACTACCTATGATACTCTATCTGTACAAAGTTAACAGTATATAACTTACAGATTCATTTGTTCACAATGCACATTTATCTCTACCTATGATACTCTATCTGTACAAAGTTAACAGAATATTACTTACAGATTTATCTCTGTTCACAATGCACATTTATCACTACCTATTGATACTCTATCTGAACAATGTTAACAGTATATAACTTACAGATTCATTTGTTCACAATGCACATTTATCTCTACCTATGATACTCTATCTGTACAAAGTTAACAGAATATTACTTACAGATTTATCTCTGTTCACAATGCACATTTATCACTACCTATGATACTCTATCTGTACAAAGTTAACAGTATATAACTTACAGATTCATCTCCATTCAGGGTGTTCAATGTCTGTTCTTCTTGTATCTCCTTCGCCTCTAGAATCATCTTCTGTAATACTGTTACAGGCTGGGCATTCCGTACAAACTCATGCTGTCATTTCAAATAAAAACCGTCATGTTTAAATCACATGAACTCATAATATTCATGGGCAAAAGAAGTTATTATAACAACATCAGTTTAACTGTCATTTATAAATAAAAGAAGTAAAACTATTTTTTTAAGATTTTCTAGAAACTATTACTGTTAACTCTAAAACTGCTAAATTTGCAGAATAGGTATACTGTTTTGAATAGGGTACTGTCTCTGTGGTTATTTTTTTTTACATAGTTTCTATTATCTAAAAGCTATAACTGAGAAAATAAACAGAACAAAAAACAACAAAAAAACCTGTTGTTACCGTTAGTGATTAGCTTTTGCCAACAGATTAGGACCAGACAACTCTGCCCATCCCTGCTGTCTGCCCATGCCTGCAGCCTGATCATATTCATGCAATTCAACTACATAAATGCAGTCACACAATGTGCAGTCTGACTAAACTCTATACTGTTGATAGCACTATTTTTGTATTTTGAAATTAAAATCCCTTAAACTTGGAATGGACTGAACAAAAATATATAAATAAGGGAAAATCCATTAATTCAGCAGGTTATGTGTAAACAATCTAATCTCTCTTACCTCCAGCAATTCTTGAGCAGTAATTCTTTGCTCTGGGTTTTTGACAAGACATTTGGAGACAAAATCTATAAACTCTGGTGACCATTTATCCGGATTTCTAAATGATGGCGGTGGTTTTGTAGGTATCATAAATATTGCCTGAAATAGTAAAAATATTAATATTAAAATAAATATTATAAATATTGCCTTAAATATTGAATGAATATTATATATATTGCCTGAAAAAGTAAAAATATTATTACCGGTATTTAAATAAATAAATTAGTGAGCTGGCCATTATAATTAGGTGTAATATTTCAATATATACTTAACATGTTGTTGAAAGTGAAACTATCATTGCAAAAACCCTTCTATGTAGCTTAAGCCTTTATTATGTCTTAGCATTTTTTCTTTCTTCACAGAAACAGTATAAAGGTTATAATTTCATATGGGAACTTTACAGCTTTAGTTGTGAAGACCTTGATTGCCCTTCTGTGTATAATTTCAGGCATAAGCAGCCACAAGAGACGTTCATTATATGGTGACTTTATTGGTTGCATTATTTTTGGTAGAACCCTGACACTATTACAAGCTAGTTGGATGAAAAATATCCAATGTCCCTGGTAGGATTTCAACACACAGCTGTGAGAGCCATTTGAGCCAACATCCTTAACCATTTGGTCATGGAGATTCAACTAGATAAAAGATAAACTAAAACTTACTCTCATAGGATGAATGTCACCATAAGGGGGTTTTCCTTCAGCCATCTCTAACGCAGTAATACCTAAAACATTAAATCATTAGCCTTATACTTCATTAAATACCATAAGTTCTATACTCCTAGAAATATTAATATCCTAACAAACTTAGCATACACAAAAATAAGCCGATATACGGTGATAAGTTTAGAATGTCAGACTGGAAAATTTCATGTTTGGATATATGGCGAGCCAATTAAACATTTATTTAAATTCATGTATTTTAGTTCAAGAGAAAGAGAAATCAGTTCTTTCAAACTTATTCTAATAATTTTACAAATCCACTTCTAAGACAAACTAGTAATGGTGTCAAATAAGGAAATAGGATCAATGTAGGAGCAAGGTCTATAATTACTTTTTTTTCTATTTTCAAAACAACATGTGGCTGTCTGATGGGGAAAATATATCCAACAACTGAGAATGTAATATAACCACACATTTTATAAAATTTTCAATTTTATTTCAATTTAACATGCATGGTACATAGCAGAGGTTATCTATAGGGACTGCTTTCTGTCTTTTAGCTGATATAAGTCAGCTGCTGTTAAGTCATAGTTCTGGTGAAGAATGTAAACAGGGTATTTTAGGGGAAAATATATGCAGTTTTTGGGGAAAATACACATATTTTGGGCTAGGTGAAACAGCCTTTATTTGGCTGTAAAACTCTCTAAACCGACAATCCTGTTGGTAAGAAATTGACTCTTCCACAAATCCTTCATGATAATTTTACCTGTTATCTTGTATATAAAGGGAGAAAATATGTACCTAGACTCCAGATATCAGCTACACAATCATAGCCTATTTCTTGTATCACCTCCGGGGCCATCCAGTATGGTGTTCCTATCACAGTATTACGTTTTGCCATTGTGTCCTGTTAATATAGATATATATATATATACTTTATTCAGAAATAAGACATGATATGTCCATCATCTTACAAAGCTAAATATTTTAATACACAAAAGAGTGTAATATCTAAATTTCACAATAAAATATCATCACAATGGCAGTCAAACAGTGTATAAACAGTAAATAACAATTGTAATCATTAATTTGATCTAATCTGCATTCACCTGGAAAAAATATATATCTAACTGATTTTAATTCACAAATCATGTTTTTAACTTTAACAGGGGAGAATTTCTGGTGACTTAAGAAAAAATAATAAAGAAATACAATTTTAACAATTACATAATACGATATATGCAAGATCCATCAATTCTTGTACATGCACATGTATATATCTATATATATGTTACATAATTCGGTTCAAATATTGTGTTCTTAGTATATCATACAAAAATTAATAGAAACTAGTTATCAATGTTTTGCACTGATATTTTAATTTGATTAAACATGCTTTTCACATAGTAATTATAATGGCCAAGCCCTCATTTTCCGCCTTTGACACCTGATTAAGATCTTAAAGGGGCTCTGTTAAGATTTTTGACATTACGGAAATGGAAACATCTTTTTTCTCTCAAGATTCATGTACCATTTGAAGTAGGTCTTGATCAAAAACTAAATGAGTTTCAAAACTTTTAACTCAAATCTGGCTCAGGAATTTCTTAAATTAAAAATCACTATTAAATTATGACCACTTTTCTATTTATAATGGTGGACAAGGACCAATGATATCCGTCCATGCATTATTTCAACTATCGGAAGACATCTGGTTTGACTTATCAAACCTTTAACCAAAACACCTGTCGAGCTTCCTCAGACAAATGTATATAAATTAATCATCCCCGGTGAGATTCAATCCTTATGTCTATGATTAAAAGTGTATCAAATTTTACATACTGTGAGCTGGCCAGCAACTCCAAAATCAGCTAGTTTAGCATGTCCCTCTGTGTTTAGAAGGATGTTTCCAGCCTTGATATCCCTGTGAATCTTTCTCTTAGAGTGCAGATATTCTAGACCTTTCAATGTGTAGTATAATATAGTAGCTATCTCTTCCTCGTTTAACTGAAACAAATATTATCAGTTATCAATATTAACATTCTGTCATTTATTTCAATGAGTTTCACAAAAGCCTTTATGCCATACAGAGAGACTTACAATGAGCAAGTCAAGGAAAGTGTTGAGCTTTTAAACTTTAAATCATTACAGCATATATCGTCATCGGTTAAAATCAGAATATTAAATCAAAATTCAGCTGTCTGAGTGTCTCTAACATTTTTTACAAGCAAATATAATAGAAGTAAAATAATCTATTGTAAATCAATATTCTGTTATTCTAAGTCCTTACTGATCAATTTTGAAAGTACTTCAAAATTATATTCTTCCTGAAACTGTCCATAAAATTTAAATTAATTTCCTTCATCTTACCACTATGTGAGACGAATGATTTAAAAAATATTTACAACAGGAAACCTCAATTACTACCAATATTTAAATGCCCATTATGCCTCAGAGATTATTTTACTTTTATTTCTCAAAAATATTTCTATTTTTGGTATACTTTTATAGTTTAATAAAATATGCCCATTGGCAAATTACTTGAACAATCTGTTGCTTTGGTAATAAGTACATAACGATTTAGTATTTTGTGCGGACGTCAAAATACTACATTTTGCTACTTTTATGACAAATTATTTCATAATTTAAGCTAAGTTCCTCAGGTAACAATAATCTAAAATGCTTTGAAACCATTATATGAGCCGTGTCACGACAAAACCAACAAATGCGTTTGCGACCAGCATGGATCCAGACCAGCCTGCGCATCCGCGCAGTCTGATCAGGATCCATGATGTTCGCTTACCAACTCTATAACAAGTAGAGAAACTGATAGCGAACAGCATGGATCCTGATCAGACTGCGCGGATGCGCAGGCTGGTCTGGATCCATGCTGGTCGCAAAACCATTATGTTGGTTTTGTCATGACATGGCTCATATCAATGTTATAATACTCATGTCTGCTCTATCTAAAGCAGACGCAACCTTGTTTTGAACTCCAGCCTATCGGGTGACAGTCTCCAATCACATACACTAGGCTATGGAGGAATTAAAAAAAATTCTAGACGAAAATATTGACTTGTTTCTGAGGCAAAATGTGCATTTAATATTATCATTCTAAAACAATTTATTATCATCAGTTATATAAATGTTTGAAAGCTTACATGGCCATGTATAAAACACTTGTGTGCTTTATAAAAAGTTTAGGTATGAGGTGTACATGTATTTACATATAGCAAACACACAGACTACTAATCACACATAATTTCTGATTTGTTAGTGACAGATAAATGTACATTAGACTGAATGTCTCTAGATTAATTGTCACAGAGATATTTAGCTTCACCCAAGGTTTGGACCAACAACCCCTGATTAAAAGGTGGTGCTGTCCCTAATAAGTTAAGAGGGCTGACATTAATATAATTTCTGAGATTTTCTCCAAAAATATATGAGCCGCGTCACGACAAAACCAACATAGTGCGTTTGCGATCAGCATGGATCCAGACCAGCATGCGCATCCCCGCAGTCTGATCAGGATCCATGCTGTCGCTATCAGTTTCTCTACTTGTTATAGGGTTTGTAAGCGAACAGCATCTGATGAGACTGCGCGGATGCACAGGCTGGTCTGGATCCATGCTGTTCGCAAATGCATTACGTTGGTTTTGTCGTGACGCGGCTCATATCAAGCTTTAAATGAAGTTTCTTCTTTTGCACTTTACTTGGCCATCTACAACTACTGTCTATATAGTAGGAACATGTCACCTAACATATTATTTACAAGTAAATAATCTTTAAAGAACTCCGCTACGGTTTTATTAACATGACCAGACTGGAAATAATTTTTCTGAAATTACTTGTATGCATAGTTACTGATTCATTCACAGACAGTGGTTTTCATCCTAACTGTGAAACATGACCCAAAAAATGAAAAGCATACATAAATAACTTTAAACACAAGTCAGGCTAAGAATCGCATAAAAAATCAATTTTTACTTTAATTTTTAATTTATCACATTACTACCTTTTGCAATTTTCTTGTATAAGTACACCCCCCTCCTTCCCAGTTGATATTAGCAAGAGTTTTAAATTTTGATTCTTTTGAATTCTGTACCTCAGTGGTGTTCTTTTAACATATTCAGAACTCAATTGAATAAATTGCTGAACATTACTAGATAACAGGCAATAAATAACTTACAACTTTGTTTCGTAATCTCATAATATCTGCAACAGACCCGGCCCCGCAATACTCCATCACAATCTGTAATATACAGAAATAATCTCTCATAGAAATCAGCATTGAATTAACATGCAAGACAAAATAGTTATTAGAGACAGTAATTTTTACTAGTAAACTGGCCCAAGAAAATGATTTTCTGGTGTTGAACAGATGCTTATTTACATCACCACTGAATTAAATAATCACCATCATATAGCATGGATAAAAAGATTAGTACCTCCCATGGATGACTCCAGGTGTTATTTCAATAAACAAATAATCATCACATATCTAATTCATAAGTGATGCTATAAGGTTAACTTTTTTGTTTAACATATAACTAACAAAGACCAAAACATTGGAAGCTACTAGGGAACTCAATGATGCTGCATTTATAATACTGGCAAAGTAAATTGATCAGCAATAATGTTATAAAGTTTCAGCTTTACAAATAAATTAATTTACAACTATTCAATGATTCCTTTATGCAGACCTAATATCGAAACCCCATATAATTATTTTTTAAAAATTTCAAAGAAGAGTTGAATCGATATGTACATTTGGATAAATAAAAGGTTGTTTTTTTCCAATCCAAATGTGTTGAAATGTAATCCCAATGTTTTGTCTATTGTCATGACTTATTGAAACTTGCTTTCTTGCAAAATGAAATATATTACACTTATTAATTAACTTCATAAGTATTATTGACAGACAAAACTTGTCTTTATCTTCAAAACAAAGTGATACCTACATGAAGGCCCCTGGCCCCAGTCACCTATACAGTAATTAGGGACTCAGTCCCTATATTATGGTAATTAGGGACTGTCTTGAACAAAATCAAATGTTAGATCTTCAGCTTAATTACATTTTATATTTAATAAAATCATAAGTCCTTTTAAAGTGACATTATGCTCATTCTTTCACTGTCAAATTGAGCTGAATTGACTTTAGTCTTCAAATGATTTACTGTTATAATGGTGATTGACAATGACTTGATATTGCAAATTATGTGAGAGGATAAAATATAAATCTGCCTAAAATGTAAAAAGACTGCCCCACTATTTTTTTTAATTGATTGTTACAGGTAAATTCCGATGAATATTTATATAAATTTTATATTGGCCATGTGAGTTATTTATCATTGAAAGTAAATTATAAAATTGAAAGGAATTATGACAAAATGTTGCATTTCGCCTATTAAATCACTATATATCAATGGATGGGCTTAATATGTTACTTTAACCAGCAATATATCAGTAATTTCAACAATATAAATACAACAAAATGAAATTATACATAATAAAAATTTACCCATAAGTCTGTATTTTTAAAGTAACTGCCGTAGTATTTTACAATAAAAGGACTGTCACATTGTTGCATTATTGAAATCTCCTTGATGATCTCCTGAAGATCTGTGTCCACGGGAACCTGTAATATACATGTATCATTTTCTAAATAATGTGCACATTTTGACGAGGAGCTAAACTGTTTAACTTCTAAAATTTCTAGATATATTTTTGTCACATAATGAACATGATAGCTACAAATGTTTCTCACAAAAACTTCTTTTTCTGTTATGCTGATATGAATATGTGACAGGGTGAGAAAAATGAGCAGCCTGACCTGGACTCGAATCAGGGAGCCTAAGACACCTTTCCATGGACTCTACTGACAGAGCTGTCAAGTTGCTTACACATTTTCTCCCTTAAATAGTGGATAGTCCTAACCCTGCTATATTGAAATATGTCCTCAAATTTCTCAGGGTTACAGAGCAATGTGAATGAAACTCTGCAGCCACAGCGCTAAGTTGGGCGCTAAATATTACAGGGTGAGAAAATGAGCAGTCTGACCAGGATTCGAACCTGTAACAGTTGCAATAGACACATAAATAAATTGATGTCTCTTTTTATCCTATTATAAACATAGTTTACATTAAAGATAAGTTTTCCTTTGTTCTTACAAAATACATAAAATTTAAGGAATGTAAAGAAGGCAATATGGACACTTTAAGGAATTTATCTATAAGTAAGGTCTTATAAGGCCTTCAATGAATTTCAAAGACTTTTAAAGACAGTAAACTCTGAAACAAATACTCAAAACAATATATTAACAAAATTATGTTGGTATGAGACCACTAAAAGCCTAAAAAAAAGATAATAAACTAATGTTGTTTATATATACCTGTTTAATTGCCAGAACTTGGCCAGATTCCTTGTGTAGAGACTTATATACACTGCCATATGATCTGAAATAATCACAGTACATTGTGAGAATAGTCATTATGTAATTTAAATAATGATTAATTTGCCTAACAAGCTTATTGTATGATGTTTCCTTTAAATATAGACATAGTTAACTTTACAAAATAAACAGACCTTATCATCATTAACATCAATTTAATTCACCTACATTATTAAAAATCACTATGAAGTTATTTTATTTATTTATTGAATTTTTTTTTTTTAAAAATTGTGCAAGAATCAAATTGTGATCTTCAATTAAATAATAAACAGTGAATATTATTACAGTTTTCCGACTGATATTATTTTTGGCACTGTTCTTTCTTTTTTTGGCACATTATTTTACAGCCATATTTTTGGCACCCGAGATGTAAGTTCTTATAGTTAATAGAACTGTGTTGACTATTTTGTCAATTATCACAAAAACAACATATCAATCACAATTTTTTGTGTGTGTGCCAAAGTCAAAATACCATAATGTTTTCATAGTAACTAAAACTTCAATTCTAACTCACAAATATTCCAGAACTTAATTTGTACTTTAATAACATCATAAATATAGTTACTATTTTATTTTAATTAAAGATAAATAAAACAACAATATGTTAAACAACAATATGACATGCACAATACACACAGCACTGGGGAAGGTTGGGAAATAAGCTCATACAGTACATGAAGAAAACAAGATGCCAGCTCTATTATCAAGTGATAGTTTTTATATACTTGTTTATTTTTAAAATTGGGAAAATTTAGCATGGTAACTGATGAAAAAAATTGGGAAAATTTTACAATTTTAATTTTTTATTCAGCTGATAATAATCATATTAATGGACAGACGTGCTTTAATATAAAATTATATGTGTCTACTACTTGCTAGAAAACTTAAACTGAGTGGGAGAAATCCTCACAATTTTTGTGATTTTTTTTACGAGAAAATACATGTAAAGCTTAGAAACTACATGTACATTGTATGTAAAGCTTACAACTAACAAATCTGATTAAGTTCGAAGTCATTATTGTATGTACATGTATTTTTATTAAAACACAAATTTCTTGTCTTAAAACATTAATTATCAATACTGCTATAATAAAATGTTTAAAGCAATGTGAGGATTAAACAACTTTGCTAAAATTCAATGAGAAATAAAAGAAAGCACAGTCTAAAAGCTCTAAGTGAATGGTAACAAATAAAATTCCTCCTTTCATCTGTTGTACATGTATTGCTAGCACCCTTTAGAAATAACTAACAGGAAATGCAGGGCATGGTCATAACCACACAACAATTATTCAATTATTCATACAAGTTAAATAGGCACAAATCTTGAAGAGCTTACATGAACCAGTGCCAATTATAGTTGGAAGTCACTATAGAGAAGAAATACAAAGTTAGGGTTAAAACATCAATTTAAGTCTTTTCTAATTAAGTCCCTGGACAAATGATCTACTTAAAAGGTTTATAATTAATCCTTTAAATAAAAGACCTTCCATGATTGAAATGTTTGATTTTGGACAAAAAAAGCTTGCTTTATTGATCTATATGTTAACTTTAATGGACACATGACCAAAAGGATGAACTGCTACAGTTAAAAATCTGTTTCAAGTATTAAGGAAATTATCACAATTAAATCCTCCTTTAAAATGGCCTATATATTGCGGGAATCAGGTTGGTCTATTGTAGGGATCAGTTGAGAGCATTGTGGACATCAAGTGAGACCAATGAGGGAATCAGGATGGTCCATTGTGGAAATTAGACAAACGACAAACACAAAGACAAGTAGAAACTATAGAAGTGCTTTGTTTTAGCTTACCCTTCTCCAAGTTTGCCTAGCAAATCAAAAACCTCCTCCGGGGACTTTGCTAAATGGTCCTCACTGAGTCGTGGCAAGGGCAAATCACTAGAGTTATAACATAGATGAGGTACAGCAGCACTACATCAAGCAAGTGGACATTTTCAATGCATACACAGCCAAATGTTATTAACAACAATAAAATTACATGAACCAGTCTCACCAGCATTTGATTGGATGATTTAGATGATTATAAATACGGTTTAAAAAAACAACGCCCCAAACGCGCACGGCGCCACAATTAGATCTCACATTCCAGCATCTGATCAGATGCAATCATAATCAAAATGATTAGTTGAATTAAAAAAATCTCAGACTAAAGCACTCTTGACTGGTTGATGAAAATTCAATACTGACCAATCACTACACCAACAGACTGGTCAATAATCTTTGTTATTAATAACCTTAGGCAAAGAACTTGTGTACTGAATATAAAAGAGAGCTGATTTTAATCAGATTGTCTACATGAGATTTTCTCATATAACAACAGTAAAGTTTTTCATCAAAATAACATGCATGCTAATAGATATATCTTATAATTTTATATCTGATTAAAATAACTGCTTTTTTAATTCAGTACACTAACTCTTTATCATTACAATAAACCCAATAAATGCAGCTATTTTCTACATGACATATAAGGGTGCTGGAAGTTCATACAGGGGAGATAAACTGAAAATAAAAAAGATGTTGATTAGCATGCACTTTTTTAAATTAAGCATGCAATTTCTGTACCTTTATAAAATAGAATTTTATGTGTATCATAATTTCTGACAAATTCAAAATACTGTTATAATTGCTACCAGATTGTTCTGCTTTATCTTTGCTTAACCACTAATAAGGGGGTATTTCTAAAACTAAAATGTTGTATAATTCCTCCCCAAGTGTTAATAAACAAAATATCTGAAAATTATTCCATATTTTTCTTTTCTTTAATCTTAGTTTTTTTCTTTCTTTTTTATTAAAATATTGTCACACAACACTTCAGAAGAATGTTAGAGAATTATCAAAATCAAATCATGGAGGACAATGGTCTACAAAAAGTTTGTACAGAAATTGCATACACTAGAATGCTGTTAAACCATGCACTATGTCCAGCAAAAAAGAAAACAAAAATCAGGCACACATTTATGATAGTAGAACAACTTCATGTAGTCACATTTGTGTCCTTTAGTTTACTGTATAAAATTCAATATCAAATACTTTATTTTCATTTCATTATAATATATAATATACTAACACTTTTAAACACTTTAAATCAAAATCATTAACCTAGTCTTATACAAATTCAATATAAAATGAAATTTTACACCCAAATATTTAACAAAGTGCAAGGCAAAATAAAATTAAAGTACTGTGTATTATTTTAGCTTTTTTTAGAAGTAAGAGTAATTGAGGCTTCACACAGTTCAAACTAAAGGCGTAATGTGATGTAGAAGTTGTATAACTATGTGGACATGTGGGCTTACCCGCGACCTATTTTACATATGATATCAAACACCTCGTCAGGTTGACGAGCCAAACTTTCGTCACTCAGCTTCATAAGTTCACTGTAATACAAGCTCGATATTATCATAATTATATAATGTACACAAAAATACACAAACTCTAAATTATCATACAATTTTTTTTCACACAGAATCATCTATCGCCAGTTACCCACTGTATATATTCCGTACATACTACATTGTCTACATTTTGTATATCGTGGGTTAATATTCATATTAACTGTGTGGTACAGCATGCTCAGTGCCGATTTTGCAAAACCCACGGGATCCCACCGATGAGACTCACTGCAGACGGAAATTTGCTCAAATATTGTAAGTGTGACCCTCAACACACAAAATATTCACCTTGTAGTAACTGTATGTGATTATGAGTGTAATATAAAAGGAGTTTAATAAATCAAATATTTGATTTTGTCTTAACTGATTTATTGATATGTTGATTATTGTCAGTTTTTTTATCTTGTCTTAAAACATTGTAAAAATTTGGGGTCATGTTCAAAGAACACTGGCATAGACTGTTCAAGTTTATTATTTTACACTTTTTCAATTTGTTTTTAGTTTGTTTTAATTTCCTTATTTATCGACCAGAGTCCAGAATCATCCTACAGGTATCATGAACACTTCTGTCACGCACATTGTTACAACTTTTGTTCTAGATTTGTTCTGCATATGACTAATGGCCGGGCATTCGTATAACGGAAGAATCACATCTTTTTGTCAAAATTGTGAAGGGGCCTAGGCCTGTTCATTTTGTGGAAAAAAAACGAGATATGTCATAAAATTGTGAAAAATTTTTATATGGTATTCTGCACAGGCACGAGTATCGGACCTGGGAAGAAAAAATATGACCAGATTGATAAAAAAACCTGTGTTCATCTTAAAAGTGTCAAAAAAACCAAAAAAATGTAAATAATGACCCCCTTTAAAATATACTATAAGTTAAGAGAAGGCCGGAAACTCCAGATTCGAGCCTACGAGCAAGGGATTCATTTCCCGGGCCGTTTTGAAAACAATTGGCCAGACAATCAAAAAAAACTTTTATCACTATTTCATGTTTATATTAGGCTTCAAAATGAGACCAACCCCAAGTCTCTAGCCCTTCCCGTTCATGAAATATCTATCAGGAAACAAGCGAATTCGTGCTAAAAATCCTTGGTAGACAGAATTGCGGCACAGCAATTCGATACGTAAACATAGACTAATACATGTATGTCAGCTGAGTATGGGTCAAAATCACTTGAATTTACTAAATAATATTACTAAATACATTAAGTTGGACCACTCACAACCGTAGGTAGCATCTGATACACGCAAAATTCGAATTTCAAACCTGTCCACGGTCTTTAGATTACTTTCTACGCCATTGTCAATCAGCTGTTCGATATTTTGTAACGAGTCTTCTGATTGGCCAATAGCAACGAAAACTGCAATGTTTCACACAAGATGCCTAATGGCGTAGAAAGCGATTGAAAGACCGTGTAAATGTTTGAAACTCGAATCTCATGTGTATTAGATGCTACTGTTGGTTGTGAGTGGTCCAACTGAATGTATTTAGTAATATTATTTAGTAAATTCAAGTAATTTTGACCCGTAGTCAGCTGACATACATGTATTAGTCTATGTTTACGTACCGAATTGTTGTGCCGCAATTCTGTCTACCAAGGATTTTTAGCACGAAGTCGCTCGTTTCCTGATAGATATTTCATGAACGGGTAGGGCTAGAGACTTGGGGTTGGTCTCATTTTGAAGCTTAATATAAACGTGAAATAGTGATAAAAGTTTTTTTTGATTGTCTGGCCAATTGTTTTCACAACGGCCCGGGAAATGAATCCCTTGCTCGTAGGCTCGAATCTGGAGTTCCCGGCCTTCTCTTAACTTATAGTATATTTTAAAGGGGGTCATTATTTACATTTTTTTTTGGTTTTTTGACACTTTTAAGATGAACACAGGTTTTTTTTATCAATCTGGTCATATTTTTTCTTCCCAGGTCCGATACTCTTGCCTGTGGTATTCTGCGGCACTTTGAAACCGGAAACAGTGTGCTATGAACGCTTGATTATAATTTCTGACCTGTGTAAATCTGCTTCAAGTTTGTACTTTTACCTGGTTAACATGCGAAAAAACCATTTGACTTGATTAAAACTATTTCTGTGTTATTGCAATTGGCGTAAATCAAGTTTTACCAGAAGGTAAACAATGTTTTTCGAAGACAAAGTCCCAATATTTTGTGAAATCTCTTTGGAAATTATGAATTTTTTTTCGCCGCTTTGTGAAAAAAAGTGCAATTTTGAATTGTAAAGGGGCCTTATATCGCTCCCTGTTAAAGAAGAAATTAAAGCCCTGAGAATAATCCTCAAGGTGGTCCAATTAAAAACGGAAGCAGAGCATGAATTAACAAATGGCACCTTTAAAACAAAAAAAATGTACATCATCTTACTTTACTGTACATAGGCTTTGTCTACTCTGATATTAATTTAGTTTTTAATCAAATCAATTATAGCAAGCTTGAATAGCTAGCCTGAAGGGCCTGCTTGCAAAGAGAGCTTTATGGTAATGCGAGTAACGGCTAGATAGTGATGGTTTTGAAAACTTTCGTCGGAAGTGGAAAATTGACACATAGCAACTTTTCAAATTACAAGATAATGACAAAAGCTGAGGAATTCTGATTGAAACTGATGCGTAGACTGGTATCCTGCGCACTTCTAAGGGAATCATAATAAAGAATAAATGGAAGCAGTGTATAAAAATTAAAATAGCGAATGACAGTTTTAATCTAAAACGGAAAACCAAATATAAAATAAAAATGAACTATTATTTTATACTATTTCACAGTAAAAGTAAATCAAGCTCGCTTTTAGGCTTTGCCTTTTTCATATTATTTACTGTCTTCAGACTGGGATAGGTCAGATACATAGATCCAATCGCACAGTATGTCTTTTAAATTAATAGTCTTGTATAACTTTTATTCTTTTAACTTTGCATATAAATAATTTCTTTTATTAACAGTTCCCTGACAATGTGCCTGCTAGTCAAAATCAGAATTGATTGTTAAGCAGATAAAGTATATAGATCTAGACTAAGAGTTTGAAAGTTAACATGTGAGGTCAATAAATTTTGTCCTTATCAAGGAAAATGCTTTGTATTTTGCTAGCCTAAAGCTACAGTACCACACAGTACGGCAAGCAATCTCCTAATCTTATTGTATAAAAATACATAAATTAATCTGTTGATCAAAATGTTAACATGAAAAAGAATCAAGACCCCAAGACGTGACGTTCCGAAAGAAATTATGAAGATTTGTCAAGAAAGTTTTTTCTATTGATGTAATAATTAAGGGAAAATATACCTTTGATTTGACATAATTTTGACTTTTGTTCTTCATTTATTAAACAGAATAAGAAGCTTAAGTGCAGCAGAAACACTAAGAAATCAAACGGTAATTTTTCTTTATTTCTTCATTTCTCTTCTCAAAACAACCGGAAATGTATTTTATAAAAATCTCAAATACAAAATGTAAAATTACAACTGAAGTAATTGTCTGCTTTTTTTCTTATTTTCTAATTTAGATAGCTTAAACAAATATTGAGTTAGGAAAAATTTCATGTATAAAGAAATATCTCATTATTAGATTATTAAGATAATAAAGCCTCTAATCCCAAAACTCAAAAATCACGTGACTGTCACGTGATCAAACAAAATGGCTTCAAGCGTACAGAAATTGACTCCGTTAGCAGCTGTTGAAAAACTGTCAGAGCGAATAATACGAATATTAGGATGCAATCCAGGGCTTCACACTCTGCAAGGGACTAATACATATCTTATTGGAAGCGGCAAACGGTATGACAATATTAAGATATGTTATGTTTTATTAGTAAATATTGGGGGGCAAAAAGTAGGTCTCACGTACCTATTTAAATAGACGAATGTCAGACGTTTCACTATTGAGACGTTTCACTCCCAAGACGGTTCACTCCTAGACGTTTCACTCCCATTTTGTCAATTGTATGGACGTTTCACTCCCAATTTTTAGAGATGTTTACAAGGAAAGTTAACAAATTTTAATTTCATTAATATCAAACGGTATAAAAAGGAAATTCAATTTAATGTTTCATTTTATTGATTTCAATGGTATTGTTAATATGAATTATTAGAATATTACTCATTTAATTATGAGTTGAGTGATAAGAGGTGTATATGAAAGACAAATTTCTGAAATATCACTTTTATTAGAAGTGTAACAACATGAGAAAATTTTATTTATAGTAAATTTAAAAAAATAACATAGAAAGAACAACAAAGACATAAGTATCAGTTTAAATATTGAAATCACTACCAGAACATTAAAGTAATTAATATTATTCAAATAATAAAAAAAAATATCAATATATTAAGTTTATTGACTATATATAATGATTACTTTTTGTAAGTCTTAAACAATGAAATGTGAAATATGTGTATAAAATAAATTATTTTTAAAAATTATTTTCTTTATCAATTTATTTAACAGTAGCCATTAAACAAACTTAAGTAACTGTGGTGTTATCTCATCGCCTAATTAGTTGTATAAACACTGAGACAATCAACTAACAGTTTAACACCACCATTAAATCAACAACAACAACAACACATCTTTTTATTCACTCAAACATGCATACAACATGTAATATGAGGATAATGTCAAAATAAGTAACGAGGCATTTATACAAATTGAGATCAGAATATAATTACTAAACAATATCAACATATCTATTACATATTATTAAATTGTATGCATATTTTGCTTAGGAAACAATTTTTTTTTTTTAACTTATTAAGAAAATGCAAACTTAAAATACTGCTTGAACAGAATGTAAGATATTTATTACTAGGAGAATGTAGCTATAAATGTGATATAATTTGTCATAAAAGTTGTAAAATAAATAAAGTAATATTTTAACTTCCATACAAAATGCTTTTTTACTATACTTGTATTTATTTCTAAAAAGCAAATTTTGAAATGAAAGATAATTCATGAAATAAACCAGTGATTATTCGTTTAATACTATAAAAGTACAGCAAAAACTTATTCTTATGAGAAATAAAAAAAAAGTATATGTGAGGTATAAAGGACCTTTGCTGTATAGTAAGAAAGTGGTAAGTGAATATCATTAAAACAAAACTATATCTCAGAACATTACAAAATAACAACTGACTTTAAAATGAAAACATAAATATTTGATTACATTCTTACATTTCTTATAATAATCATTAAGTATTTGCATAGTTTATAAAATGCAGGCGAATCTTTCATTGTAAAAAGTTGTTCTAATTTATACATATTAGGACGTCTATAAAAATATGGTTTTATAAATTGTCTTCTTTCATTAGAAAATCTATTACATTCGAAAAGATAATGAAACTCATCACCGATTATATTTCTACAAAAAATGCACATTCTTTCATTGACAGGTATATTTGACCAAATCCGTTGTATAAACACTGCACTTAAGCATAACAGTTTACTAATCAATTGTTTATTGGACCATTAAAATATTTTTTGACAACAGCCAATTTAAACACAGAAACTTCTCCATAAGTTTTGTTTATATGATAATGAATTTTAGTTAAAAAAATGATTATACATGACAAATATTGAAAAAGTCCAAATGCTTCTAATTTAATTTAAAGATATTTCTGATTTCAATGGCCATTAAAATTTTTGACATATATCCCAAAAGCACTATACTAGCATTAAATAATTTAACAATTTTTTTATCCCATTGTTAAAATTAACAACAAAAAAACAAACAAAAAAACATGTAATTCAAAGTTAATTGTTGTCACAAGATTGGTATGCTTTAATAAATTAAAATTGCCAATTGAGTCCATGTTTACAAAAGATTAAATAGTTAGTTATATTAAAGTGTGATTTTAATCAAAAATATTTTTTTCTTTAAGCGAAATAATGTGATCATTGCACATATGGATTAAAGAATAGTAAAACACCTTAATTCAAAACAACAATAAAGAAGATAAGATAACTGAAATGATAGAACTTAAAGTACTGAGTTTTAAGTCATTGACAAAAATGTGAATTCCCCCTTTTTAATTTATTTTTATTAAATTTAGGGTCTATTTTAGTTCAATTCAATATTTTAGGTCTATTTTAGTATATCATAAGTATCAAAATAATTTGGTATAAAAAGGGAGTGAAACGTCTTGGTGTGAACCGTCTTAATAGTGAAATGTCTGCTACCTAAATAGACAGGTCTGCTGCAGGACCTTTATGTGATGGTCATTACTGGACTCACTATGAGCACCAAATCCATTAACGTTTTTTTCATTAAGTTATTGCGCTTTACTTAGTTAAAATTTGCAAATTTCAACTTGTGTTGCACGTAGCTCAAAACTTAAAGTAAGCTTTATCCTGGAATAGACCCCGGTGTCTAAACCAGGAGTATATATAAGGTTCATTCCGTTTTCTTTAGTGTATTATATACATAGAGGATATTTGTTTAGTTCAGTGTAAGATCGGAATATATTTCACCGAGTGAGCACCAAAAGGTATATTTCACGAGTGGCGCAGCCACGAGTGAAATATGAACTTTTGGTGTTCACAAGGTGAAATATATTTCAATCTTACACTAAACTAAACAAATTTTCTTTTTATTATATGCAAAGAAACGTTTTAAAAAGACATTTAACCTAATACTGAATGAAAAGCGCGCCAAATAATAATGCAACGTGACGTCATTTATGACGTCACGTCATTAAGTTGGTACCCAGTACTGTGCACGCTGGTAATTCACTGAAACAACGTAAGGGGCTTAAATTCAAAACAGTGAAATTATCAAAGTGGTAATTTCACTGTTTCAAACAGTGAAATTACCAGTTTTATATCACTGATATATTTCTATAAACCACCGAAAAGCATGTAATAAAAGTTTTTCTTCTGAAATATACATAGGGGTCTAATCCAGGAAAATGCCAAAAAGTATTTATCATAGAGTCATGAAACCCTGAATGTTTGTCAGCATTTGAAGTTGTGCTTTTGGGCTTTCGCTTCTTGATTTATTCTGTTTGTCAGAGTTATTGCCCTTGACTAAGTGAAAATTTGCAATTTTCAATTTGTGTTGTGCTTAGCTCAAAAAGTATTTAACCTAGAGTCATGAAACTTGTTGTCAGCATGTGTAGTTGTGCACATGGGGTCTTAGTTGTGGATTTATCAAGTATTTTTAAGAGTTATTGCCCTTGACTTAGTAAAAACTGTTCCATTGTGTTATGTTATGTGTCTATGAGTGCTTGAGTTTGAATCAACCAACTTTACAGGAATAATGATCAACGTCACTGCGAAGCTATGCACCTAAGGTTTTGCATGTGGATTTTTTCAGTTTTGTTGAGTTATTGCCCTTGACTTAGTATAAATTTTCAATTTTCAACTTGTTCATGCAAAGCAAAAAACTATTTGACCTGTAGAAGAATGTTGGTCAGCACATGTACTTATGCACCTTGGGGTTGGCTTGTGGATTAAATTTATTTAGTATTTGTAAAGTTCTTGCCCTTTACTTAGTTAAAGATTTTTAGTTTTCAACTTGGGGCACATTTAGCCACAAAAATATTTGACTTAGAGTCATAAGATTGACAAAACAGTTGAGTGTGGGGGCACCTGTGTCCTATGGACACATTTCATAAGTTCTTATGGGAATGTTTTTAAAAAAATAATCTTTATGATTAAGACAGATGCCCCACTTTAAAGATTTTTATTGACTGTTTACAAGGGCATTTCAAGCTGGGAATAGGGTCTAACCCCCATTGTCTGTTTGCTGATAGTGAACTTTAACATACATGTGAACTTTTTTTGATGATCAAGTGGGAGATATTTCTTCAAAAAGAGGGAGATTTTAGAATTTTCAATAAACAAAGAAGAAAGTTTTGACATTAAAAAGAGGGAGAGTTTTTTAAATAGGAAAATACCCATTATTTTAAGGAAAATCTTTGAAAGTATGGCCCAAGAAAGTGGGAGTCTCCCGCTTAAAGTGGGAGTGTTCACATGTACAGCTTTTGTGACCCCTCTCTGCCTGTCAACCGTTGTTTGGCGCCGTCAATAGTTTATATACAACATCTCTGATACCATTCACAGGAACGATTCATGTTTGGTCTCCTATCAAAGTCTGTAATCTTTGATGTGTGGTATATAAAATCATCTAGAGAATCCTACTAAAGTGGTTCAAATTAGTTTTTGTTTTAAGGTTTAATTTGACTTCCTATAAGGTATATAATATATAGTAAAAATAACCTTAAGTCTTAAAGGCCAAAAGACAATAGCTTAGATATTTGGCATGACACATCATTGACATTAAGTGGATAAAATCCTACAAGGTAGCTGAAATTGTGACCCTGGGGTCAACATTGTCCCTCTGTCAGTTAGGTCATGGGTTTTCCATAAAGATATGTTTATAGTAAAAACTAGGGCCGTCATTGGAAATCGCGATATCGATGTATCTTCGATTCTCAAGGGTTGATTTGATATCGATGCAAAATTTTGAATATCGATTCAATCATTCAGATTAAAGTGTCAAATAACAATGAAGAAAATATACAAACATTTCAAATTAAAATCCTTACAAGTTTTTCATTTGCAACTGAAATTTTAATCTTCAACCTAAAGCAAAACAGCAGCCATTAATGTTTACATTGTTAGCGTGTGCGAGAATCTAATGACATCAGGTCAAAAATTACCAAATCTAGAAATTGAAAATTCTGGCAATAAACACTTAATTCGTGGTGCGGTATGTTTACATTTGTATCTTCCGAAATTTAGTGTGCTTTAATCTGTAGACGACAATGGTAATAAATAATTAGCACGCTTTATAATTTGCACAGCAACATGGTGGATACACCAGAAATTGCCAAGTTCGTTTCAAAAAGGTTAAAATAAAAAGAAGAGCAATGTATGAGAATAATTTTGAGTCGAAAGTAGTTTGTAAAGTTTACCATATTATTATGCCATACAGAGGCAATACCACAAATATAAGGTCACAAATTGACCAAAAGTATTGGTCCGTGTCTGTGGTGAGTTCAGTTCCTGTGAGTTATAAATAATTCTTCATCATAAATTTTTTTCGGGATTAAAAATAACAAGAGAACTGAGTTTCATCTGGTTTTGTTGTATATTTTATTTAAACCATGCATAACAAATAAAAAGAGACATTTTGAATCATTTCTTCCAGTGTGTTTGGAATGTTTGCATATCTAAAATAAAGTTTTGATATATCAATGTATTGTCGATATTAACCCTTCGATACATCGATACAAAAATTTCTATCAATGACAGCTCTAGTAAAAACTTACGAAATTATTGTTTCTGGAACCCTATGTGCTAGAGCTGAGATATTCAGCATGAAACAAATGGATCTCAACCAAAGATTTGAAATTATAATCTTGGGCTCAAAACTGGCTCTGACCCAGGTGTCATGGGATTTTCTTTATATGTATAATTTACATGTAGTAAACCTTGGAAATTGTTCTTCTCTGAAAGCCAAAAGGCTAGAGGTTAGATATTTGGCATGATTATCATCAAGAAAACTTCCTACAAATATGTCAAAATTATGGCCATTGGGTCAACATTGGCCTGCTCTGGGGCCATTGTTTTTCTGTAACTTTATAATTAAAGTTAAAACTTCAAAAACCATAATTAAAGTAAAAACTTCAAAAACCTTAATATTTTCTTTTCTTGAACCCCAATTTCTATAGCATGGATATTTAACCAATTTCACCAAAATACCTGTAGAACTTAAGGTGGGATGCCAGTTAAAATTCCAGTGGTATTACAGAATCTGATGACCATGTTCAAAAATTATTAAAGCTTATATTTTTATGTATTATGAATATGCAACAAAATGATTTGATAGACGGTGAAAATAGAAAATTAACACAGGGACTGGTATTAAATGCATTTTACTAATGATTGTTTGCAGCTGAAACAAATGAACTATTTATTTGGATACAGTTTGTAACATCTTGATTTATGGCTAATATTATATCTGGCTAATACATATGTAATAGAAAGAGCATCGAAACATGAGGCTATCTGATTTGTACAGGTATTAATCAGATTGCCGAGTGTTTTGATGTTCTTTCTTTTTTGTATCATAGTCAAACATAAAAACATGTTCCTTGTTGTCTCAATATGAAACCGCAGAAAAAAGTAACCAATGAACGAGCATCTGAATATAATATTTCTGTCGCTTTCCCTTTCTCTGCCGTCACAATAAGTAAACCCCAGCAAAAATGAGCCAATCAATGGGCATGCTCTGGAGTGCGGGTAACTAATACCTGCACTCCAGTTTAAATGCACTGTGGATGTATATGTATACGATTTAACTCTGACACATTTTCAACAGAAAGGTCCACAACTATGATACAGTTGTCCATTTAAGATTTGATGTGATTTTGTTGTTGGTAAGGTATTGAGATAGTGTTGCATAATTTTAATATATTAAGAAAAGGATTTAAATAATTATCCCCCGCCGATGGAATCGGGAGGGGGATATAGTTTTGGCGTTGTCCGTCCGTCCATCCGTCCGTCCGAATTTCGTTTCCGGAGTAGTTCTCTGCTAACTACTGGCTGGAATTCAACGAAACTTTATGGGAATCATCAATATCAAGAGGAGATGCGCATCTGACCGTCCGTCCGTCCATTCGTCCATCCGTCCGAATTTCGTTTCCGGAGTAGTTCTCTGCAACTACTGGCTGGAATTCAACGAAACTTTATGGGAATCATCAATATCAAGAGGAGATGCGCATATCGTCAGCTTGTTCTGGTCAGACCCTTTAACTCAGAGTTATGGCCCTTGATAAGTTATGTAGAATGCATATAGAGTAAAATTTTGTTTCCGGAGTAGTTCTCTGCAACTACTGGCTGGAATTCAACGAAACTTTAGGGGAATCATCAATATCAAGAGGAGATGCGCATATCATCGGCTTGTTCTGGTCAGACACTTTAACTCAGAGTTATGGCCCTTGCTTAGTTATGTACTATGCATATAGAGTAAAAATCGTTTCCGGAGTAGTTCTCTGCAACTACTGGCTGGAATTCAACGAAACTTTATGGGAATAATCAATACCAAGAGGAGATGCGCATATCGTCGGCTTGTTCCGGTCAGACACTTTAACTCAGAGTTATGGCCCTTGATTAGTTATGCAATATGCATATGGAGTAAAAATCGTTTCCGGTGTAGTTCTCTGCAACTACTGGCTGGAATTCAACGAAACTTTATGGGAATCATCAATATCAAGAGGAGATGCGCATATCGTCGGCTTGTTCCGGTCAGACACTTTAACTCAGAGTTATGGCCCTTGATTAGTTATGTAGTATGCATATAGAGTAAAAATCGTTTCCGCACTACTTCTCTGCAACTACTGGCTGGAATTCAACGAAACTTTATGGGAACCTTCAATACCAAGAGGAGATGCGCATATCGTCGACTTGTTCCGGTCAGACACTTTAACTCAGAGTTATGGCCCTTGATTAGTTATGCAGTATCCATATAGAAAAATATTTGTTTCCTCGCTACTTCTCTGCTACTTAACTGGCTGGAATTCAATGAAACTTTATGGGATACTAAGAGGAGATATGCATATAGTCGCCTTGTTCCCGAGTCAGATACTTATAACTCAGATTTATGGCCCTTGATTAATTATGTAGTATGCATACATCTCATTGGCATTTCCAGATTTTACTATTTAACACAAAGTTATGGCCCTGTTATTGCCCTGAATATTTATCAAGTTCAAAGAATATTACTGTTTATGCCATGATTAATATATAAATAAAGCCTTATGTCTTCAGTTGTTGTGTTAATAATAACCAGTATTCGGCGGGGGATATAAATTCAACGAATTTGCTTGTTACATATTATATCACCTTCATCCTTGATGGAAATAAAACATGCACTGTGTATTATGAACAAAAATAAAACAAGCAGATCTGTATGCATCTGAACAGAAATTAAACAGGCACTTTTTACATGGACAGAAAATTTATAAAGCATGCGCATTGAACTTGCACATTACAATGTGTTTTTCTAAAGGTCAATTTCAAACTTTCCCAGAATAAATTTCAAACTTTCCCAGAATCATTGACACCAAGTACTCTAGTCAACATTATCACCATTTATGTATTTTTTTTTCTTCAGAATTATGGCCCTTGTTGTTTTCGATATTTGTAATATTGTCAGGCAAACCTGGTTAAAAAATTGTGGCGATTTTCAGTCTTCTATTTGTTTTTAAAATAACTACCGGGTAGTTAAACATGAATAAGCAATTATCAATATTGTCTTATATCAAATTTGAGCATAGTATATCTTTATACAAATTTATTTTATTTTATATTACAGGAGAATTCTTGTAGACACAGGGAGTCCAGGTAATTCCGAGTATATTAAAGGATTACAGAAAGCTCTCACAGACAGTTGCTCTTCAATACAGGAGATAGTTTTAACACACTGGCATCACGACCATGTCGGAGGTGTCAAACAAATCTTCTCCGATGTACTCAATGGTATAAACTTGTATCATTCTTTTATGTTAACATTCTGTGAAGAAAGTGTGATAAACCTATGTCAACATTATGTTAAAATTATGTTAGAATTATGTGAAAAGTGCAATAAGCTTATGTTAGATATTAAGTTAATAAAGTAACTATTCAGATTATGCTCATTTAGTGAGTAACACATACATAAAATGTTTTAGGAAAAACATACTGTTAATCAGAATCTTTTAAAAGGAATGTGAAACCGCATATTTGAACAAACAGATATCACAGGATTGGATTTCACTGTACACAGCGTTTTTTTTTCTGGTTTGGGAATGGTGCCTGTACCAGACTGATTGGGGGGGAAAATGCGTTATTTTGACTTGAATTGGGAATTTTATTATACATTTTTTCAGCTACAATTAAGATTAGTCATCATACATAAAGACAGCTTACAGCTTCCACTGTCCAGTGATAACTATTGAGTGGTGATTTAAATGAATATGTTGGATTTAAATGATTTCAGAGCTCTTGGCTTTGCATGAATTTTGAACAGCCATTTTGTTAATTTAAACATTAGAAATTGGGAATTTTAATGTCTATTTTCTATTTGGAACAGTGCCTTTTTAGGGTAGTAGTTATATATATATAAAAAAAACATTTGGTACAAAACAAAATATTTTTCTCCTAGGAATCATTCTATGTAACTAATAAATAGAGGATATTCAAGTTTTTACTATAAATACATGATTTATTTTCATCGAGTGGTATGAAAATAAATATTTCATGAGTGGCGGTAGCCACGAGTGAAATATGGTAATTTTCATGCCACTCGATGAAAATAAATCATGTATTTATAGAAAAAACTTGAATTTTCTGTTTATTATGTACATTTTTCTCTTTTTTGGGATAAAATTTGAAAAACTTTCCCTTAAATTTTGTGTACTGGTAGAATTTAAAAGAAAGTAGTCCGGCAAGACACCAGTGAAAATACGGAAAATATGTTTCACTGCATTGAAAAATAAATTTTTACAGTGAAAATATGGAAAATGAAAAAACGCATTTTATTTCATCAATATTTCTCAATATTTCATTTATAAGTATATAATAAATTGTGTTCCTCACTACTATTATTATTGGGCTCTACATTTTATCCCATAAAAATAAATGAAATATTTAAAAAGTTATGGCAGAAAACAAAATCTTGACCATCTTTTTTATTCTTATTTTTTTGCCCCATGACGATCACAAAAAGTCACATTGTGTAGGCACCATTATACACATTAATAAATGTTTTCATTATTTTTTATATGCATAATAGTTGTGCTACTTCTTAACAGAGCAAACACAGGGGATATACATGATTACAATTAACCAAAATGTACATGAACATTATTATTTTGTAAAAAAAGTTTTTAACAATACACAGATGAAGTTGGTGTGTCCAAGTTCAAGAGACTATCTCAACCTGACGAGGATATAAGTCCAGCAAAATATACGTTTGTTGAAGATAAACATGTGTTCAAAACGGAGGGTGCTACCCTAAGGTAACTTGGTTTATATAGTAACACTTTACCTAGGTGTTACCATATTACCTTACATGTAGTTTGTAATATATGCTTTATTAACTGTTCATCATAATGCCCAGGTGAATACAATTTTTTTTAAAATTCAAAACTGTAATTGCTGTAAACAAAACCTGCTGTGTAGTGGACTTGTTGACATGTCAGACCAGTAATCTTAGAGTTGCTGTCTGTGTGGGTTCAAACTCTGTCAGGAGCCATACACTCATTGGTTGACATTGACTGATCACAGGAATGGATTTGAGGATGTCTATATTTAGTTTATAGCTTCCTACACAATTAAACTAAGATAAATTCTGTATAAACTGAAACAAAAATATCACTTGCATATAGAATTTTTAGCTTTAAACCCAGACAGTAACTTGCTGGAACAGTGAATTTTTTGTGCCATTAGTCGGATTGCCTTTAAACCCATGTAGCCTGACAAGGCACTCATTATCCTGTTGGCATCTTTATTTTAGGATTCTGATGCTCATTCGTTTTGTGGGCCTATTATCACCTTTCGGCCCAAGTCTGGTGCTGTGTATTAATCACTATATATTTTATTGGTGTTATATTTTAGAGCTATACATACCCCTGGTCACACGGAAGAACATATGATACTATATTTAGAAGAGGAGAACGCTGTGTTAGCTGGAGATACCATACTGGGAGAGTCTACGGCAGTATGTCATACACTAAGTCTTTCTTAAATTAACATTTCCATTATAGTTTGAAATATTCAGAGTAAGACCTATTTATTACATGCATTTCGGTGGTTAATAGAAAAATATATAGAGGATATTTGTTTAGTTCAGTGTAAGATCGGAATATATTTCACCGAGTGAGCACCAAAAGGTATATTTCACGAGTGGTGCAGCCACGAGTGAAATATGAACTTTTGGTGTTCACAAGGTGAAATATATTTCAATCTTACACTAAACTAAACAAATTTTCTTTTTATTACATGCAAAGAAACGTTTTTAAAGACATTTAACCTAATACTGAATGAAAAGCGCGCCAAATAATAATACAACGTGACGTCATTTATGACGTCACGTCATTAAGTTGGTACCCAGTACTGTGCACGCTGGTATTTCACTGAAAAACGTAAGGGGCTTAAATTCAAAACAGCGAAATTATCAAAGTGGTAATTTCACTGTTTCAAACAGTGAAATTACCAGTTTTATATCACTGATATATTTCTATAAACCACCGAAAAGCATGTAATAAAAGTGAAATATAAAACTGATATTTCACTGTTTGAAACAGTGAAATTATCAATTTGATATTTTTCACTGTTTTTGATTTAAGCCTGTTACATTGTTTCAGTGAATACCAGCGTGCATATTACTGGAAACCAACTTTATGATGTGACGTCGTAAATGACGTTGCATTGTTTTTTTATTTTTAGCACGATTTTCATTTAGTATCAGGATAAAATGTCTTTTTAATAAAACGTTTCTTTGCATATAATAAAAAGAAAATTTGTTTATTTTAGTGTAAGATTAATATACATTTCACCTTTTGAACACCAAAATTTCATATTTACCTTTTGGTGCTCACCTGTTGAAATATATTCCGATCTTACACTGAACTAACTAAACAAATATCCTCTTTATCTTACACTAAAGTATAGTTGAAGGAAGGGCAATTGGTGTGAAACAGTTGTAGCTCATATGGCATAAAAAAAGAGTTACAACTGTTTGTACAATGTTTCAGTAATGAAATGTCAACATTTTGATAATTATGTCAATGATGAAGTATTTTTATGTTAAACACAGCATTTTTTCACAATTATTAAACTTTGAACACCTTGTATTTTATTTACAGGTATTTGAAGACCTTCATTCATATATGCAGTCATTACAGAAGATATTAGACTTAAAGCCAAGTATTCTGTATCCAGGTAATATTATAACTAACTTATATCTCGGGTCTCAAGAGGTGCGCTAATATCCATTTTCAGCTTTATTATGAGTTTATTTCTTTATTATCATTTTCAAATATTTTTGTTTTAAGTGCCCTAGTTGCTTAATATAAAATTTTCAAATTTTTATTTTTTATAGACTTTTCCTTTTTCCTTGAAGATCAGGTAAAAAATCTTCCACAATACTAGCATTTTCTGGCATGATGTAAAATCTCTTGTTAAAATCTTTTTTATATAATCAGTTCAATGAAAACAACGCTTACCGGGGTATCTTTAGCTTTCGACGTTTAGTCTTCATCAGAAAAAATTGACATTTTTTTATTCTTTTTTATTTAAATCTTTTTTGAAATTGATGCTATATTGATATTTTTTTGGACATACATAATTTAACATAAAACAACTACTCCCCATCAAAATGTCTGATTACTTTGCTTATTTCAATATTTTTATCAATGATATATATTTTGAATAATGACACCTTCAAAATGGGGGTCGTTGACTTCAAACCACTTGCCTCACACAGTTGTTGGTTCAAATCCCGACAGGGACTTTTGATTCTTTCATGTGAGGAAGCTATCCAGCTAGCTTATGGAACGTCGGTGGTTCTACTCAGGTGCCCGTTAGTGCCTGAAATATTGAATAGAAGGGCATCAGAGGACTTCCTCCACCAGTAAAGCTGGAACGTCACTGTATGACCAATACTGTGTCACATAAAACCATCACAAATCTTCAAAATGGCTGCCACATTTGTAAAGGGAGATAAATATTGTCAACATTTGGTACTATCTATACTACTGGCAGATTAAATTAAATTTTAGTATTACTTTTGTTATCCCAAAAAGTGATATTTGACAGTTCAAAAATAATGAATCTCGGGAAGTCTGTTTTAACAATTCAGCAGAAAAATGGACAAGTTTGCATGTTATATATACACCCCCCCCCCCCCCAGTATGATCATTACAATTTTGATGTAGCTTAAACAACAAGGAAAATAATATTAATAATTTATCATTGATATACACTTAATACATACATATAATGAAAGTCATATATTACATAGACAATATTGGATGGTGCCCTTAGGTTCTATGGTACTGAATAAATCAGTTAATTTATTATAATGAAAAGGACTCATTGGAATTAACTTTTGCATAATTACTTTTTAATGATATTTTTGATGTATTTTTATTGTACATGTATAAATAATGTGTATTGTTATTGTATAAATAATATATCTTGAGAAAAATTTATATAACAATGTGTTGTTGTTTTATTTCAGGGCCATGGTATTGTAATTTAAAGAACCCTTTAGAACATGTAACATTTTATTATATTAAACCATAAGAAACGAAAGAGAAAATCGATTGATTAGACGTCCTACAGAAGCAGGCTGGAACCAATCTTCTCCAACACTAGATATTGTCAAAGTTGTTTATAAGGTAATGTACTCCCATTCTTATGTAATTTTATAGTTAAAGCTGCATGCCTCCAGATGTGCCAAAGTACTTGAAGAAAATCAAACTAGAGAAAAATGTACTAAGATTTGAAGAAAAGTGAAAAGATTCAAGTAATAATTTAGACGTTATATTTGATTGATGACTGATTTTGCAGAATTCCTCACCATGTTTCTACTGAGTCAGTGTAGGACAAAACCCCTCCGGACAAAAACCCTCCCATCAAAAAGTGACAAGGCGGACAAAAGCCCTCCCATGAAAATGACAAGACAGACAAAAGCCCTCCCGTGAAAATGACAGAGTGGACAAAAGCCCTCCCGTAAAAATTACTTGGCGGACAAAAGCCCTCCCGTAAAACTAATAGGGCGGACAAAAGCCCTCCTGCAACAATATACATACATGTATATGTTACGTTGAAATAGTTTATATTTTCCTTTTCAAATGGAACTCACATATTAAATTGTAATCATGAATATTTTTTTTTTCCATTGGCATAAGCGTGTTTGGGATGAGCTTGAGGCCATTCCTGAGAGGCATCTGAATAATTAGTGCTAAAAATCTGTAAGTGCATATTTATTCACGTAGATATGAAGGATTACTCCTATGTGAATTAAGGTTAAAATAGAAAAATAAATGATAAAGGAGTTTAAATTATCTAACTTAAAAGTTAAAAAAGACATTTATAATGTCGCTTGTAATGAGTCATTTATGTTTTAAAAGCGACTTTGTTCTTAACGACATTTTGTGTAAAAGTTACCATCGTTAAACATTTCAGGAAGGTATATTCAGTGAATAAAGGGTGTTCTAGCTCATACACATACTTTGGGGGCAAATTAAAAACAACAAAGATATATATGTAACAATTTTAATATGTTGAGTGTATTGAAAAAAAACACAGATATTCACAAACATATTTATTTTTTGTTACGGGAGGCTTTTTTGTCCACCTTGTTATTTTCACGGAGGACTTTTGTCTCGCCAGTCATTTTCAGGGGAGGGATTTTGTCCACCTTTGTTATTTTTCACGGGAGGACTTTTGTCCACCCTGTTTTTTTCACGGAGGCTTTGTCCCATTGTTATTTTCACGGGAGGACTTTTGTCCACCCTGTTATTTTCATGGGAGGGCTTTTGTCCACCTTGTTATTTTCACGGGGAGGCTTTTGTCCACCTTGTTATTTCACGGAGGACTTTTGTGTCACCCTGTCATTTTCACGGGGAGGGCTTTTTGTCCACCTTGTTATTTTCAGGGGGAGGACTTTTTCCGCCCAGTCATTTTCACAGGAGGGCTTTTGTCCGCCTTGTCATTTTTCTAAAGGGAGGGCTTTTGTCCGGGAGGCTTTTTGTCCGTTTCCCTGTTTTCTACTGCATTACTAATGCAGTAAGGTATTTTTTGCATATTTTGACCTCTTATTGGTAAATTTATGTGGATTGAAAGTGCTGTTTTTCAATGTGTAAAGTACTTTATTTATTCACTTCACAATAATTTTAGCTAGCATACATGCATAATTTTTAGACTCATTTCCGGAACTCTTCATTTGGAGGTTGGGCATTGATCAGCAAACAAATTTTTTTAAATTTACGTAGTGGATACAACTATATTACCGGTATTTACAACTTGCAAAATTTAAAACTGACCAAATAAACAGAAGAAAGAATGTAATTAATTATTTACCAGTTTTTCTATCTTTTTTAGTATTAAATTAATAGGCATCGTAAATTCAATCAGTCACATAGTAGAATACAGCTATGTTAAGGGTTAAGGACAATTAGCCTGTGTTTACTGAAAATTCGCGTTCTAGAAATAGTGTTTATAAAAATTGACAAAAATATATAAAAATGTAAAATTTGCTTGCTTCAAAGTAGATTATTTTTAGAATTTTTTTACGGGACATAAATCATCTCCGGAACATTATCCGGACAGACACCTTACTTCCGAGGGACTTTCTTCGGACATCCGGGACGCCGTTATGGCATGTATGAGCTAATCAAAATTTTTATGAAAATTGTGTGAATCTGGAGGCATGATGCTGAAAGCTCTGATTGGCTGAAGGGCTTCTGTGGCTGAGTTGTTAAATTGGCTAACCTCTAATCACTTGCCTCTCACTACTGTAAGTTCAAATTCAAATCCTTGCAAAGATTTGGATTCTTTCATCATGACTTTGTTAGAAAACTATTCAGCTTATAGGTTAGTGTTTCTACTCGGGTGTCCCCTTGCTCCAGAAGTAATGCAGGAAGGGGCTCCTCCAGTTGTCCTCTTCAAGGAAAGCTGTCTATAACCTTTGTTCACCTTTATTCAACCCCCCTTCCCCCACACCCCAAAAGAAAAAAATAATGCAGAAATCTTTGAAGTTTTGAGCTATCACTGGACCAAGCAATAACTTGTTGATTTCATGGCATTGTAAATATTTTGTAGGTGTGCTAGTTTTATAGATGAATATTTATCCATAGTTTCTATGATTTACACTTTATAGTTTATCAACATAAAAGTTTAATATTTCTATATAATATGAGTTAGAATCAAGAAAGTAATGTCAGTGAATTGTTTCTAATTATGAATAGTCTTTTACCAACTTAACAGGGGTTTATTTAAGCGGACGCCCGCTTGCCCGCGTCGGGTAGAAATCGCTGTGGGCAAGTGAAATTTGAAAGCAAATTGCCCGGCGGGCAAGTGAATTTTCGTTATGCCTTCTATTAGCTTTGATATCCTTTGCCGATAATACTTTTCTTTCCGTTCATATTACAGTCAAACAAGTGTATTTTAACTGTTTCTGATTGTAGTTGGACTCCTATCAACCAATCAAATTACGTAAAAAAAAATCTTTTTCCATTTTGCTGTCCTTTCAAAATGGCGGGCGGCGCCGAAAGTTTTCCCATTTTTAAAAGAAAAAAGTCTGCAGCAATTAAAGAAAAAGCCACGGCAAAGAAATTATCTGATTTTCTGAATAAAAAGCATAAAATCACAAAAATTCAAGATGAGTTATGTCAATAAAGACTGACACAACTGCAAGGTTCAAGAAAGAACAGAAACATTGGGCCGTAAAAATCTACTCCTTTGAATCCTGTACGCTATTGTTTTCTTCATACGGTCAGAATTTAAGTAACTGGCGTCAACTCATTTGCAAAGGCCTATAGAATTTTTTTTTAAATTCGTCACCAGTAATCATTTTTACACAAATCTTGACGAAAAATCACAATAGTCTTGAACTGTTGTTAATTTATTTTCCTTTCTCCCCTACAGCAATGTTTAAAAATATTCTAGATCTATTAATAAACAGAATAAAATAATCCATAAAATGTTTAAAATCCTTTTTGGTAAAATCACAGCATATTGTGTAACTATAAGTTATCTGAGGTCATTCTAGGTCATGCCTAATTTACGACCAAAACAGAAAAAATCTCCTTAGGTGAAACATACAGCAAATGACGTATATTTCGTCTGACAGTACTTTGAACCAGTCTGAGTGCTCTGAACTGTATGATTACTGCATGCGGTGAGTCCCTTTGATGTGACAGATGTTAAAACTTCAAATAAATTTCAATACAAGCAGGGAGGATAGGAATCAGACAGATCAATTTAAATTGAGTATAACACATCCTGTCATGGACTTGGAGCAACTTGTTGTTTTAAAAATGAAATAAATTTGAAAGGTACATAACTAGTTTGGTAATGCAAACAAAGCAAACATATTTTTGATATTTTACATTGTTTGAAATCAACAATAAACATTTAAATCCTATCACAATTTTCAACAATCGATGTACTGTTTCCTTTTTAAAGTTGTAATAAGGTGATAGCATCTGAATGTGAATATATTTTAAAGGCACCTGGAATAGGGCCTAATTATTACCTGTAATTTTTATAAGCCTTAACAGATCATGACTATTGTTAATCTTCACTTTCATTTTACTATTTTGATGTGAGGAATCCCTGACATTTAGGAGTTTTTCTAAATTAAATCTCAGGGATTTCTATTGGATCCCTGGCAAAGTTGTGTCGACCCCTAGAGTATTGTGAATTAGCAAAAAACATATACAGTAGGGAATTTAATAGGACTATTTTACTATCTGAGGCATAAGTTGATAGGATCTGCAACAAATCTTATTTTTACCCATAATTTTTGCTTTGATTATTAAAAATCTTCACATTAAGATCGGGCAACCTGTTTTTCCTTGGGGCAAGTAGATTTTAAAAGTTACTTGCCCTTTGGGCAAGTGAAAGTCAAAACCTTAAGTAAACCCCTGAACTACATGTAAAACCTTGTTCTGCTAGATATTTGTACAAAGGGACTATTTAATTAGTTAGCTAATGGCTGGTAAAGCAGCCCTTTGTCATCTGGAAGAAAATAAAAATCCAATAATATCATAATGGAAACAGTGTTTTAACTTTGTGAGGAGTAAAAAGATGATAAAATCAACTTGGAACTTTTTTGATGATTTTAGCTCAACTGTGTTACATTTTCTTTATTGCCATTATTTTCATTGATTGTGCGCATGTATTACATATGTATCATGAATATGATTTATTTCAGGGCTTAAATCCAAGTCTAATCCCGTCAGCTTGTGGAAATGCTCGGCATCACCTGAAAAAACTTGTAAAAGATGATAAAGTTGGTAAGAAATTCATGTTTTATGTCCTGTTTGGTTTGCCATAAACTTAGTACGAATTTAGGCAATAGATATCAATTTTGAGTGCATTGTTGCACAGTTCGAGTTAAAATGCACAGGCATGAGTAATTAATTAGAAAGCATTTGAGCAATAAAACGTGAATTATTATGCTATAGTGCAAGAAAAATTAATATACATTTCCATTCTTACATGTTAAGTAAAAAAAAAAAGAATTGATAAAAATATGTTGAACTACATTGAGTGTAGAATTAACTTTCCTGACATCATTTGATTTAATGACATCATATATGACATATGACATGTAAGCATTTGTTTTGTATGCTGTATGCTTATTGGTAATAATGTACTTGATCTCTCTATCTGTTTGATAAGGGAATAATGTGAAGCATGTTAGAATGTATAATATAAACTTTGGTGTTCTAACAATTCCTTCTTTTAATGCTGCCTAATAAAATAATGGAAGTTTTGGAGTTATTTACACCTTGATTTTGGCTAGTGACTCCCAAAATGTAATGTTTTTTCTACTTTACCTGTATAATGTGACTTCCAGTGTGAGAGATTTTGAAGTCTCTGACTTTCAAATTTTGGATCTAAATGGAAGCCCTAAGATTCTTTATGAAACGCACCCCAGATCCACAGAGCATTATATGTACTTACTTCTTTATCCTTCTTTAGTTCTATGTACTGTCACATTTTCCCCAATGATAATGTCAACTAGCAACTTCATTAATTGAAAAGTATCTTCCATATCTTAGGACGTAGGTACATTTGATGGCCCTCATAATTTGGGAAGAGTATGAGGTCACTGAGGTCAAGGTCATCAATGCTAAAAATAGATTTTCACACTTTGCTCTTACAGCCTTCATTCTTTCACTCATTTGCCTTTTATATTTGGTAAGTATAAACTTTAGGTGGGGCTTTAACTTTTGGTGAGTGAGGTTTCACTTGGCTCAAAACGTAACTTTAGCTTTATGTCCTGTTTTGTCATGTTTGACTCATTTTTAAATCCATTACATATTAAATGCTGTCCTGTACTTCCTATCCACAGTATCTAAGCCCCATAATAGCCACACAGTAAACTGATTAACTGACTTAGCAAAGTAACAGTAAACCAAATACCAAATAATACTTAGTATTTTATGAGTAACAGCCCTTGGTAAAATGTATGAAAAAAGGTCAATGTTACCATGTGAGCTTCCTTAATTCATCAGTTTACTTATGAGTAACAGCCCTTTGTACAATGTATGAAAAAAGGTCAATGTTACCTTGTGAGCTTCCTTAATTCATCAGTTTACTTAGTTCTGGTAGAGTTATGGCTCTTGTTTTTTATACAAATCGTTGGGGTAGAAATCAATATCACATTTCTTTACTATAATAATGTTTCTCAAACAAATGTCTTGAGAGACAATGGAAGATGGCATTGCAGAGTTATGATACTTTGAAAAACTGTGATGATTAGCAGTAATCATTTTAGTTTAATTTTTTAGAGTTATTGCCCTTGATTCATAATAAAGTTGATGTAGTAGCCAATATTATTATACTATGCCTATGGAGATGTTTAGAATATTAGAATATTTTTAATCATAGCTTCTACAAGAAAAGAGGATGCCTTGTAGTTAAGGTGTCTGCTTCTGTAGCTAGCTTATGGAAGGTTAGTGCTACTTGCTTGTGCCTGGATTAATGCACATACAGGTACCTTGAAGTCCAGTAAAGCTGGAAGAACACAATCATTATGGGAGTCGGTGACCTTAACAGTACTGGTGTTATTTGGTAAAACTAATCCTCTCTCTTAGTAGGTCTAGCAAAAAACAAACAAAAACAATAAAAAAAACAATAAATTTAAATTTCTGAATTGTTTTTATGGAGTGGAAATGTGCAGAGTTGGAAATTATAATTGCATTTGTATATGTCATTTCTATGCATTGTGTAAACATTTTATTTATATCGTTAAGAATGAGATTAATTATGTGTATTTCAGAACATATAGTTGAAGAAGATGAAGAAAGATGGTGTATTGTGACATCAAAGTCTAATATATGACAAATTGAACAAGTAGAACATCTAATTGGATTTTAATTGCCAATGGGTGGGATATTTTGCCGTGTGGTTGGGATTTCTTGTCAAGTATGCAGGATCTCTCAACTCTCAACTGTGAGAGAACTTTTATCCTATTGTGTTTTTTTATCCAACTGAATAAGCAGGGCTTTCACTTTAATAGGCAGGTTTTGTTGTAAATTTGTGATAAAGAACAAAGTAATATAGAAAGTTATTGTTTTTATCAATTCATCAATCTGAAAGATTTCTCATATGTTGATCATACTGTTAATGAATCTAATACTATTAAATTACTATACAGTGTTGAGTACAATATAGAATTCTAATGGATGTGTACACAGCTGTTTCACCAATTAAGGTACAGTAGAAGTATGGTTCTCAGAAATTGTTTGTAGAATATTTATGATGAAAGATTGTTGAATTTGGAATTGTTATAATAATTTTTTATCTACATTTCATTCAAAGATGAGCTTGATAAACTTTTATTATACATGTCACTCATACTATGCATTACATTGTATTATATAAAGCAGATATGAATATCTATGTAAAGTATTGCTATCAAACAAACTAATGTGGCTTTTATATATGTAGAGCTTTAATTGTGTCGAAGTTAGATAATATATTATATTTGTATTTTATACATAAAATGTGTGTGCTATTATTAACTAGTAGATAAAAGTGAAAGTCAGTTATAAAATGTTAATTATTTATCACAGTATATAAATGAAATCACTGTACCCTGTCTAATGCGAGCCTATAAAATTGAATGTGTACCCCGTCCTTTGATTACAAGCACATGTTACTTCCGATTACTGTTACTTACTTGGGAGCCGATATATTTTAACTTGTACCTTTCTTGGGATAACAGGAAGTAGACTTGTTTATATACTGTGTTTATACTTATTAGGATCTAAATAGAATTTTACACATGTTGTATTTTGTTATAGTTTACAAAATATAAAATTTTAACACTTAAGTACCAAGGTATTTACTTGTATACAAGTACATTATCAATGTTTTTAAATTGTTCATGTTTGTGATTTTTTGTTACTTTTTTCTCTTGAAAATACATGCATGTATGAAAAAAAGATTATACATTGTTCATGCATATACATTTATACATATTTAATTGTATCTGTTAAACTTGCTACCGGTACATTTAATGTATTTGTAATTTTACACATATTTGTAATTTTACACATATTTGTAATTTGTTTAACTTTAACAGACATATCTCTATTGAAAATAAAGCAAAGTAAAGTATTTATTCTAGTCAGAATTTCGAAAATATGAATAATGTCATTGTTTTATGTTATTGCAGCATGTCATTGGATGATTGCAATAAAACATGTAATTGGTTGATTATAATGAAAAATGTCATTGGTTGATTGTAATGAAACATGTAATTGGTTGATTATAATGAAAAATGTCATTGGTTGATTGTAATGAAAAAAATCATTGGTTCATGGTTGATTGTATTGTATTGAAACATTTTAAAGATTTTTAGAAAAAAAAATCTATTGCACCAGTCATGTCATCCGTTCCCACCTTAAGGACAATGTCTTTATGAAGATAAAACTCAATTTGACCTTCACTCATAATTACATTGACCTTGAAGGTCAAATTATTGTGTACTTGGAAGAACACTTATTATAAAACTGACATGTTAAGTAATTCCAGTATGACCTTTACATTGAAATAACCTTGACAATCAAGGTCAAATAGATGCTTTTCACACTGCAATTATTATTTCCCCTGGTCACCATTTTGGGGGTCATTTCCAATATATCATATTCTTAATGTTAATCTTTTACATATTGGTGCTATGATAAAACATTGCTGATTTAATTTATGCTTGAACAAAACAATCCTTATGGCAAAACCTGTATGTTGAATTATTCAAATGTAACCTTGACCTTTGTTAACTTTAAATATTTGAAATTTGCTTAGATTGTCATAACTTTGTTATTTATTTATGAGTTTGATTTATACTTGGACAAAAGAACTCATAAGACAAAACCGGTATGTAAAGTGATTCCAATATGACCTTACCTTTATTTGACCTTGACTGTCAAGGTCAAATTATTGAAATTTGCTTAAATTGTCATAACATTGTTATTTATGTATGGATTTGATTCATTCTGGAAACTTAAAACAAAATTGACATTGTAAATAATTCAAATGTGATATTTACCTTTGAATGACCTTGACTGTCAATGTCAATTATGAAATTTGTGTCATATTTTGTACAAAGAAAATACCTTTTTGCTAGGAATATTCTTTATTACAGTATTCTTCCTCAGCTGACATGTTTGACATAAGAAATACTAGTAGTTGAGCATGGCCTCCACTAAGCGGTGTCTCTTGTTATAGTTTTGTTATAGTACATGTATACATGTATAAGTAAATCAGAATCTATTGAAAATGTTATAAATGAAATACTAAATAAAATATTATGTGAAATAAATTCATGATGTTTCTTTTCTTATTAAAGTGTATTTGCAGTATAGGATTTCTTTAATGTAAATGAGAAGACAACTGCCATCTTAAAAACAACAACAGAAACAACATTAACAACAACAAAAAACAGTAACTTAAGATAATTTCACTGTGTATTGAGATTATATCAGAATGGCTTCTTTTCGTTTATTACACAGATGAATGCCTTCACTATATTTTATACACAAAATGGAATTAAAATCATGTCCGTGATAAGACATGTCCGAATGGTTGAGGTTGATTTTTGGGTACCTAACTCTTTTGAGATGTAGATAGGGGTGTAAAGTCATTGCTGTCAAAGGTTACTTTAGAAACGTTAAAAACTCAGTTAACTGTAAATCTCATTGTTGATGTTGTTTCTGTCAGACCTAGAGAAACTATACGAGGACTGTCCCCCACAGTCGTGTACAATTGATATAAAACAAAAAATTAATGTCCGAGCCTAAAAAAACTTTGTACAAGAGTATACGGCCCACGTCAAAAATCGTCATTCACATTATCTTCAAAACAGGAAAATTGGTCCATAGCATACTGTTATGGTGATGATATTTAATTCTTTGGCTGTTTACATGTTTTAATTAGATTGTATACCACACTTAAGTGAAATTATATATATGTATATAATTATGCTTATAAAATAATTTTCAAACATTGGAGAATATGTAAAATATGTACTGCAAATATTTGTACATACTAAATGTAATCATTGAAATATATGCATTCATTTCTTATTGAAAATTTAGACTTGGACTTTATAGAAAATAATTTTTATATTACCTCCCTTTATTTACATGAAATGTTAATTCGGTAATATCTTTGTAAATAATGCTTTTTGGAACTTACAATATTGATAAATCTTAATTTGAGCATCATATTTATGATATAAAACCATAAACCATAAAAAATTTGTGTTACAGGATCTTTAAAGTCCTTGGTCTGAAGCTATATGACATAATTTGAAGACAATCGCAAAGACACATATATTTACAGTACTTCTTTCTATGGAAAGCCATGGCTGTCTTATATTGTTCTTTTTCAATTAATTTAACCATGTGGATAATATATACATCCACGTTGACAATATATGAATTAAAAACACCTTGTTATACCGGAAACCATTATATAAATCCAAATTACAATTTATGAAACCATACCCTCAGTGTATGAAACCAAGGTAGTTATATATAAGTTGATGTTATCAATATATGATACAAATTCTTCAATGTACGGTACCAAAGTAGCCATATATGGAACCAGATATCCTTATATGAATCCGAATTATGAATATATTAATTCATTTTTCAATATATAAAATCAAGTCGTCAGTGTATGAAACCAATGTATGAAACCAAAGTATCAACATATAAGTTGATTTCACATTATATGGTACCAATTCTTCGATATATGATACTAAAGTAATCATGTATTGAACTAGATGTCCTTCTATGGAAATATTAATTCATTCTTTACAATATATGAAACCATTTAATCAATGTATGGAACCAGAGTAGCAATATATTAGTTGATTATCACATTATATGATAGCAATTCTTCAATATATGGAACCAAAGTAGCTATATATGGAACCAGATGTCCTTATATAAAACCGAATTATCAATATATTAAATTGTTTTTACAATATATGAAACCATTTTATCAATGTATTGGACTGAAGTTCCCATATATATGTTGATTTTTACATTTTATGACACCAATTCCTCAGTTGCTAGTATATAAATCAACTTAACCAAAGGAGCAATACTAACTATATTGACGGGACTTTTTTTAAGGGTGTATTCTATCCTTGCACCGGCGTTACAGTTTCGCGCCAATATTCCAAAAGACCAGCGTGCTTCACAGATGGCATACTGCACATTTTCTAAATAAGGAAATATTTGAAATAAGTTCACATTCATTTTTGGCCTTAAAATAGGTTGGACAGGCAAAAGTTATAGTTATATATCTATGTAAAGTTTCAAAGTCATAATTTAAGCTGACCATTAACAACAACATATTTAAAAAATAAGTTCATCTCGACCTCTACCTCTGATCAATTGAGCATGGCCAGTAGGACACATCAAGGTTAATCTACTAACAAAGTTTAAAAATAACCAGTCAAATAATTGATTTCATGAAAAATGTATGCATTGTAATAACAGAACCAAGTGACCTCGGACTTGTTGACTTGAAAATAGGCTATTTTGGTTCCATATAATGAAAATTGCTATCATAGAATGTAACATCAACTTATATACTGCTACTTTTGGTCCATACATTAATAAAATGGTTTCATAAATTGTAAAAAATCAATTAATATATTGAAAGTTCGGTTTCATATCAGGACATCTGGTTATATATATGGCTATTTTGGTACCATATATTGAAAAATTGGTATCATATAATGTGATAACCAACTTATATATATTTCTAATTTTATTTCATAAATTGATAAATTGGTTTCATATATTGAAAAATGAATTAATTTATTGATAATTCGGTTTCATATAAGGATAAAAATTATCTGATTCCATATATTATCTGGTACCATATATTGAAGAACTGGAATCATATATATATTTACAAAATCAACTTATATATTACTGCCTCAGTTTCATACACTGACGGAATGGTTTCATATATTGTGACTGTGGATTAATATAATGGATTCCGGTTAAATAAGAAGGTGTTTTCAATTCATAAATAGTCGAAATAAACTTATATATCATCCAAATGGTTACATAAACTGAAAAATAACAATATCAGACAGCCATGGCTTTCCATATCTTTCACTTCAGACCGTCAATTATGGTTTTATACCGACATGTATATACTAGTGTTGAATGGTTGTGTACCCATGCATTTAAATTGTGCGGTGTGCAATTGTGATAACCCTCGTATACTTAATTAAAAATTTAAAAAAAAGTTGAAAATGTAAATAAGATACAGTTTCATTATGATGATAAGTAACGATTCAAAAACTTTGTTAAATGTTAGTATAAATGCCTACCCTTAGTATAGCATGTTCTATGTAATAGAAAGAGCACCGAAACACGAGGCTATCTGATTTGTACGAGGGGGCGTAGCCCCAAAGTATTAATCAGATTGCCGAGTGTTTTGGTGTTCTTTCTCTTTTGTATCATAGTCAAACATAAAAGCACGTTCCCTGCTGTCACACTATGAAACCCCGGCAAAAATGAAGAAATAACGAACATCTGAATATAAACTTTCTCTCGTTTCCCCCTTTTCTCGGGGCCGTCACAAATGAAAAGCCCCCCAAAAAATGACCCCCAATCAATGGCCTTTGCCCCTGGAGTGGGGGTAACAAATCCCCGCACCCCTTTTTAAAACCATTTGTGCTTTGTTTTATGTTTTTCCCCGTTTTAAAACCCCTAAACACATTTTCAAAAAAAGGGTCCCCCCAAAACTATGATAAAATTTTAAAATTAATTACACTATGACTGAATATTCTAATAATAGAACACAGTATACTTGACCGCTTATATATATTTAATGTAACAGCAAACTTCCGGCGTTGTTTCTATTAAAACCGAAACTACGTAATAGTAAAAGTATTTTCTCTAGTGCTTGTAAATCCATAAAAGTTAGAGAAAAAATGAGCTATGATATATTTTTAAATACATCGTTGGCAAAGGTAAGCTACATTTTATTCTATTTACTATGTATACTCGTATATATTGAATAAGATTAACATTATATCTGTGTAATAATTATATATTTATAAACCAGTAAACCAAACCGAAAGTATCATTTACAAAATATTATTATAATTAAAAACTCTTCAAGTTCCAAAACGTACAAAAAACTAAGGTATGATAAAATTATTTTGGTTTCTCAAGGTAACTGGTTGTTGTTTGCATTTGTTAATTTTTTTAGTTTTACTCTAAACCTTTAACCCAAAAAACATTTTTAAAAAAAAACCATAAAAAATTTCTTCTTTCAAAATATTTTTAGGGAATAATATTTTTTAAAATTTGTGTTAAAAGCTCAAAAGCTTTGGGAAAAAAAACCAAAGTAATGCGATTGACGTTTTTTAAATAAGAAAATTAAATTTAAATTTCCTTTTTTACCCAGCAAAAACATACAAATTTTCACCCCCCCCCAAAAGGGGGAACATATATACATTTGCATAGAAAAAAAAAGGCATGAAGTATATAATGATTTATGTTTTCGTTTTTTGGTATTTATGACAAATGTAAAAAAGTATGTCGGGTCTGTCCCCCCACCCGTCCTCCTCCACCCATCTACCCAATTTAGCGCAAACCCCGAAAAAAAAACCAAAAAATAATTGTCCCCTTTGGGAAAAAAAACCCGAAAATATCACATTAACTTTACCTAAGTCATTGTTTGATCAGTGAACAGCATACAGCCAATAACAATGTGGTAAAAACAAACAAAATGAACATAAATATAAAAATGTGTTTTTTTTATTCAATGATTTTAATAATGCCTCTGACACGCTCTTAGAGATCTTTGTTTCAAACACTGTCTTACAAATAGTACATTGGATCAATCATTTTACAAATACATGTATTGTACAAATAGAACATACTTTTACATATACATGATGTACTCCTATATGCTAGTATATAAATGCCACAGTGAGGTTTCCGTGATAATCTCTGTACCAGCACATATGTGGATGTGTGTTTTTTACCTATTCCATATGTTAATGTTGAGTTTTCTTTAGGCCGGTGATAGGGAGCTTACATTTTACAACTACCGCCCATAAACAGACTGAATCAAACGGTGCAATAATAATGCCGTGTTGGTAAATCGTTAAAGTGTATAAAGCTATATATCTGATGGAAAAATATTGTTTGGATTTTAAAAAAGAATACTTCCAAAATGTGTGTATGAAATTAAAATGGCAATCAATTGCCTTAAGGCGAATGGCGCATGCACAAAGTCATTGCTTAACGGATAAAACCCTACTTAAAATAGCAAATCATATTTTGTTCCCGAAACATTTTATTATACTAACGTACATTTTTCATGTGTATTAAATAACAGAGACATTCTATGTTACAACTTTTTTCGGGAATCAGCCATATAATAATGGAACCAATATAATTTTACTGCTGATACATTTTATAAAAATATTTCATATGATATAGATTTATACCCTTTTAGGAATACATGCTTTCTATTTTATTGACACGTCTGCGCCGCGTGGTGGCTGTAAAATATCTCCTTGTGCATTTTGAATATGTTTTCCATGTTGTTCTTTTTCTAGTATCAGAATCCAGGAAGTACCAAAACTGAAGTTAAAGAGGTGATGTCAGTATTTCAAGACTTGAGGCCAAAGTTAGAAGAAACTAGTAAGCTACCCCCCCCCCCCCCCAAAAAAAAGAAAATAATAATAAAAAGAATAAAGAAGAAAAACAAACAAAAAAATCACGAAATTCTGTCTGTACTTTATTCATTATGATATTATTCATGTTCTTAAATATAGATATTTATTACCCTTCCAGATTTTTTCCGCCTTTTTGGTTGGTTATTGATCACCCGAAAGATATTGATATTACCGAGCCAGACGGGTAATATACACACTAAATTTCCCCGTTGGGTACCCCACGTTGTAAACAACATGCGCTGAGGTGATGCGCGTACGGTTCGATTTTACCGCGGTGTAAATTTCCGATTTACAAGCACTTTTTAACTGTCAAATGATAATATTTTACCAAATAAAGTAATGATACATATTCTCATCAGTATTGAAACACAATATGACCTTGTGAAAGCTTGATATTAATTACAAAAAGTGCGTTCAATAGACTACTCTTTTCTCTGTTTAACATTCGTTAGGTACGGGAAAAAATACGTCATGTATTTATGTGACGTCATGTTGTGATGAAGGGTACCCTAAAGGGAATCTTATTTCGACGTTTCATTTGAAACAACAATGATTTTTTAAAAAAAATCGTCTAAACTCGGCAGGGAAGGGTAATAAAATTATTATTTTGGTTTTGGAGTGATATATGTGGATATATTCTTAGCAGGTAATATATCCACATATATCACTCCAAAACTAAAATAACATATAACATTTATCACTCCCTAAACAAGTATCATTTATTTTGTTATTTTGTTTGGAATAACTCGGTCATATGATTACATCAATTGATATAAAAAATGACAGGACTTTCCAAAAATTGTGAAATGATTCCGACGGATTTTTTCCCAATTTCATTGAAACACTTATATCCCACGTTTTCATCTCAAATGGATTTTCAATTTGCGTTGAATTTTCAGGTCAAGAAGCTTCCGGAATATAAAATATTCCATATTTCTGCCCAACATTAGTAAACTAAGAACATGCATATAAAGTAAAACAATTTAGAAACTATATTTTCAGATATAAACAAACTTACCAATTTTAAAAATACTACTGATGCCTTAAATTAAAAATAATGTATCAATCTCAATTTTCCAAAATTTTAAAAAAAAATTCTCCCGATATCGGGTTTCATGATGTACATTTCTTTTTGAGCAGGTAAACAATAATAGGGTAAATTTTACAAAAAATTTAAATT